CTCTATAAATTTTAAAGCTAAAATTGTTGAAATTTTGTCCATTTTGTCCTCTTTCTGTAAAAGGATATAAAATCGGACTAGTTTGTGACGTCATAAAAACAAAAATTGTGAATACACTGCTTTGACACTATAATATTTTCTGTTAATTTATATTTCTCATACAATTTATTGAATTCAGCACATTTCAGGAAGTTTTCAAAATTTGACTTTTGTGGGGGGCAAATATATGCAATATACCGCATATAGTTCTTTATTTTTAAGCTACTCTTTTTGCTATTTCTCGATTTTTGAAAGGGGTATGGCCCTTTATTTAAACAATTCAATTCAATTCGTTTATTGACCAATTAAACAAAGTTAAGTCCATTTATCCAAGATGCTTCATGAAAAAATCGACTGAAATTGGTCATGATTCCAGAGATGAAGATGCAGTCTTATAAAGTTTATGACAACATTCATGTTGGACAATTTCTATCAGAAAGTTTTTGGCCATTCTCGCAGGCCAGGGGTCCTCGAATAACGGACCTGGCTTGCGAGGATGGGTCTTGGGCTTAAGTTAATTATTATATGAAAATATAAGACGTCCTAATCACTCCTAGCTTTAAGATGACACCGAGCTTTTTCTGACATATCCTATGGGAATTAAGAAGCGCTGGTGCCAGGAAATCGATTAGGAGTTGTAGAATTAAGTTTCGTTTAATTTTTAAATTCAATATTATTTTGTAAAATATTAATTATTTTATGAATTAATTCAATACATCTGTCTAGAACATTTATAAGGAAACGACTTTCCTTGCCATTTACCAGGCGCCCGCGTTTACGAGGGGGTGGGGTAGGGCGCTTCAGATTATAAAGTTCCAATTGATCCGGAGCTCTACAATCCCACAATCCGTCATTCATAAGATGTACTCAAACACGATCTACACATTATATTTGTATCATCAAAAAGTAGCATAAAAATAACGACGTCTTAGCATCAGAAGATTCTTTCGTTTTACACCCCAAGGCAAATCTTAAGAGAGTCTAGAAATATTCCAACACACGTTTGATGACGTCTTCAATGATTTCTAATGGCAATTTCTTCTAAAAAAAAATTGAAATTCTGAACATTGTGAACATGGGGATTGGCAGGTGAGCTATTTTAAACATAAACAAGACATTAACTGTAAGGTGTGTTCACCGCTCCATGTGTTATATAAGATATCAGCGATATAAATACACAACCCGTGTACTAAGTATGTAGATATTGTATATAGGTAAAAATATGATTGATAATTATAGAGACCTAGATACTGTTAATTACGTAAGTACAACTACCCCATAGACTCTGCATATCAATTCATAATCAGACCATGATTAAACCTACATGACTTGGAGATATTTTATATCCTGTATATTGATAAAATGTTACACTACATATAATACTTGCGACACAAAGGCCTGTATGAATGCACAAAAGTACATACAGCGAAAACGTGCCATACTGCACAAAAATTTCTATTTCACTGAAAACAAATAAACAATTGCTCAGTATAGAGAGTTTATTTACTTCTCTTGTCATTTCATTGGCTCACACACAAAACTTATTCAAGTAACAAACCCAGCTTTTAATAAAAGAAAATCCAAACAATGGAGTTATTTTTTATCATCACATGAAAAACCTATTGCAGGATTTTGTTGAGATTGATCTAATACATGCATACATCTTATGCTATAAATATAGATTCTATCTTGAAAAAAAAACTACTTTTAAAACAAGAAACGTTAATACTCAATGTGAAAAGCATTTTACATGTATTTAAAGGCACATAAAGAAAATTATTCAATTCTCATTAAAATGACATCTTTTTTTTTTAAAATCTCTGCATTACGTACTTCATTGAACTGATAAATAAATATATAAGAAAATAACAGCCAAAACATGATTGTAAAAATGTCACAACCTAATCATTTTAGAAAGAAAATTACGGACATATTTAGATTATAAAATTAATACTTTATAATCTAAGGAACCTTTTTAACATATGAAAGAGTCAAATATATAATCATACATTTAATACTTTTTTACTAAATTTTATTTTCTAATGAACAATAATAAGTTTTTGAAATGAATAAACTTGAAATAATTATAGGATAAATAAAAATAAAATTCCATTTTCGTTCTTAGGGATTATAAGAAATTCCTTTCTCTTTTAGAAGAAGTATGGGATTTTAATTTCAAATGAAATTAGAAAAGTTTCAAAACATTATCTACTGATTTTTGTAAACTTGTTAAAATGACAATTATAAGGTGTTTGGAATGTCCCCCGGTACCTGATTCATTACAGAAAGCAATATGCACGTCATGGCAAAAATAGTAGAAAAAACATAAATATGAGATCTCCTTTTGAAGCAAAATACATGTACACTACTGTAAACCTATTTTTATTCAAGAAGACTTTACTTTGCGATTTACTGGGGTTAAACTAGTTCGCGACATTTAATTTTCATGATCAAGCCTCTTTTGATCTGTTGTTAATAGACATAGAGAATTTAAGGACTGGTTGGCAGCAAGAAATATTTGCGATGACAAGGCTCTTGCGAATTTGGCGAAAATTTCTCACACGCGAATAAAAGTTGGTTTACAGTATTTCTCTATGATGAGCTGGATGACAAAGCTTTATTTATGGATAATCGGATATGTCCCAATTATAAAATAAACCCTGAACCCATATGTAAAGAGACATTTATAAATTATTTAACATGCCTGTAATAATATACACATAGTTCATATAAAATACAGCAATTTAAAATATTAACAGCAAATATTCTTATAAATGTTTCAAACTCCATATTTAATGAATATTAATCTTCTTAAACAATATCTATGCTTAAATTGAACTAGTAATTTTCTTATATTATTTACGAAAATATGCCACGTTTAATACTTTTTCAAGCAAAATAAAAACACACTGGATTTAAGTCAAGAGACAAAACTATATACATTTTGAAAAAATTTCCCACATCAATAGAATTTGAATATAGGTTAATAGTACCTTTTGTCCTCAAATCAGCTAATAGTCAATCCCCACAATATATACAAAATTCAACAATTACAATGTTATACATATATAAATATAGTCTGTTGTTCAGACTTCTGGATTTCTTAAACGTTTATACAACACTGTGTGATGTATAAACTGGAATGCAGTTACAAGGAATAATACTCTTGGTTAAACAAAAAAATCAAAACCTTGCAAAAACCAAAGCTGGGAATACAAACATTAAAACATCAACACAGAATTGTACATAGTCAGCAAAGATTTAACAGAATTATTTCTTAAATTAAAAACAAATTATAAAATTTAATCAACACATTATTGTTTGTTATTTTTTATAAAAATCTTTTGATTTTATAAATTTGAACAGATATGCAAAAAGTCATATACACCAGACTTAATATCAAAGATATAACATTGTACATGCATGGTTAATCTCAAAAGCAAATATAAATTGCACGTAATATGCATTATGCATAAGGCCATCCTTAAAAAAATGTTTGTTTGGAATTGCCGCCTGAATGGTTTCGGACACAGGAGGGAGGGAGGGAAATTATTTTTTTTTTAATTTAAGATTTTAAATTTTTGATAAAATCTCAGTAAACAGTAAATACATTTTCTGACTTTAAAAAAAAAGTATCTACCATCAACAAAAAACCTAAGTTAACATATATCTGACACTATATTTCAGTGTTTTGTATGGTTCATGTGATACACGTAATGGGCAAATAAATTGATGAAATAAAAAAAAAATCTTCTTACTTTTGATCAATAAAATTTTTTGAGGAGGGGGCATTTCAATGATATAATTTTATTTTGGCCTAAAGCTGCTGAAAGATCCCTAGCATTTTTGTTGATTGGTCTAGTGCATGTAACAACAATCAGTGCTGCAATTATTTTCTTAATCAAAAACATTATTTAATATGGTCAGGTTTGTAGACTTTCCATTGCTAACATGCTGGGTAAAAATTTTATTGCATCAATGTAGACTTTATGCATACAATATGTTTCAATTTTTCTCTGAACCATAACCACTTCCTAAATTTGTTTATACAAGTCTATATGAATACTGAGTAGTCTAAGTCAGTAACTTCCTGGATAAAACTTTAAATATCATCTTCATAAGTGGTGAAAAAGAGTATTTGTTTGCAAATCATTGCACAATGCATTAGTATAACTTATCAATATATGTATTATAAGGAGACATCTCAGTTTATAAGCATTCTCATGTGACAATTTATGATGAAATCTGGTAATAATTTAAAATTGATTTCTCCCTTGTCAAGCCATTTTGTTGGCAATTAAGAATAAAATTTAAATTATACATATTATAATTATAAATGCTCACATAAGCATCTCAAACATTCCTAGAAAAAAATATTACACTTTTTTATGATCTTCCCATAACGAATGGTCAGTCTAATTAATACAAACAAACTGAATCTTTGCCATGTTGAAGTAAAAAAAAAAGTATTTGAATCAATGTTTTAAACTTATTTAGCACTGAATTTTCCCATTGATTGAACTAAACATATAAATAAAAATCCTTACTTAAATGGTCTAAATCTATATACACTGTTTTAAGTAAATCTATTGTAACATAAAATTTCCCCCAAATTTTAAAAATAAACCACATATTACAAGACACCAACTGCTTTACACAAAACATGGTGCACTTCACCATATTTACAGGGTGAGGGATTCAAACAACTCAAGTTAACGTCAAACAAAAAAGTCTATCTAAATACTGAAGCCAAATGCTGTGACATGCCATTGTTCTTGAGCTCACTATTCGGTACAATATTCACTGCATTAAATATATACAGACTGGACATGTGGATATATTTACAGGGAAAGTTGATTGCTTTAATACATAGGCTGAGAGCTGAGAGCTGAGATCGCAGACTTGTGCTTTACCTTCACTAACCATTTCTGAATTGGACTTCTGATTTTTTTTTAAAGCACTAAAACCTTTTAGTCCCAAATTGTTAAGTAAATGTAACCTTTCAGATTAACTCTGACACTTAATACAGGAATGTTTGTTGATATGAGCAAGATAAATTAATAACTGAATTAAATAATATATTAAAATTATCTAAATATTTTTTTTATAAAAAAAAAATTGATGATACATATGCATATGTATATGTCCCACATGAGTTGATAAAATATCACATCTATTACACATGATGGATATTGCACCATGTAACAGTCAATATGCTATATAATGTACTCGAATTTAAACCTACTTTACTGTATATTCAATATACATATAACAGATAATGGAATGCAGCTCTAACTGTGCGGAGTTAAGCCCGAAGTTTTGTCTTAATATGCTTTGATACTCCATTCTTCTGAATGAATCCGTTAGTCTTTTTGTGGTTTATAAACAAAGTCTCTTCTTCACTGCTCAGATCGGACTCTGACATCATTACGCTACTGTTCTGGGTTTTCCCTTCAAATAGATTTGATACTTATAACAGTTACGCTTTTTAAGGTATTCATGTATATTTACAAAAAAAAGACATTTCACTGTTTGAATTGAGAAGGGTGTGGGGATCTTCACATTAATTTTTTCAACTTTTATGTTTTCAAATATGTAAAAAATGAGATTTTGATAATCAATATGAATATACTTATCTAACTTGTGACAAAGTTTTGCTTCCTAAATAAAAATATTTTTGTGAGAAAAAAACAGCATACCTTTTGGCAACAACTTGATTTCATCCTTAGCATCGTCCACTTCCTGTAGCAGTGAGTAGCGATGTCTCTTCTTTGTCCTCCACTTGTAGCATTTACACCTGAAGTAAAGAGGTAATGAATCACAGATTTAATTTCACTGCCCAACTGTGCAAAAAATTGTCTCAAAGATAACAAATGTAAAAATATTGTAGCTATACTTATCCTGTATGATTTAATTTACACGTACCTGCGCTTTTTAATCCAGCAGATTGTACCCCATACTATAGCTGCCAGGGATACCACCACAAGGAATAGCACAATGATAAAATATAAAACACTCCAATCTGAAATCAAGGCAAACAAATTAGTGTACTTGTTATCAATGAAAATGGGTGTACTGAAGGGTTGAAAGTCTTATGATTTAGCTAGATTACACTAGACAAAATTGCTAACGCACCACCTAAGAGAATTATTATTTTACTTTTAACAAGAGGCCCATGGGCCTTATAGGTCACCTGAGCATCATGCAACAACTTTCAAATGATTGAATTTGGTTCATGTTTTAAGCCAGATGCTATGGCATTCACAATTTTGAAAGAGGCACCATTGATTATCATAACTATACACTTAGCAATTGCTTAGTTTGTTTACTTAATACCCATAAGCAGGGTAGGGGAAGAAAAATGCATGTCAACTAATCAGTAATATTCAGCAATAATCAGGAGTTCCCTTACCAGACATGAACCCCTGACTGACCCTAGGTCTACACATTGCACAATTTTTGAAAAGGCACACTTGCTTATCAAAAATGTTCAATTAATACCGAGGAGCAGATTTCAAACAATTCATTTTCAGTATATAGAAGTAGAGCCCCCCCCCCCCCCCCCCCCCCCCCCGTCTTTGGTATCCCTGACCCAGGGGCCTTGAAATTCACAATTCTGAAAGAAGAGCCCTTGCACATCATAACTATATAAATATTTCATCTGCTTATTACCCAGGAGTAGAGAAAAAGATTTTCATAGATGTAATGTATTATCACCATTTAATCATGATAGAGCCACACCCTTACACCATAATCCCTGATGCTGGGGCCATAAAATTCACAATTTTGGTAGAAGCATTCTTACTCATCATAACTATGTCCTTAATTAGTTTATTTAATACCCAGGAGTAGAGAAGAAGCTTTTCAAAGAATAAATGCATTTTCACTATATAATCAATAGAGCCCTGTATTAACAGCAGAACCCCTGACCCTGGGACCATAAAATTCACAATTTTCTTAGAGGCACTCTTGCTCATTATAACTATGCACTTAGTTATTTTATTTAATACCTAGGAGCAGAGGAGAAGATTTTCAAAGAAATAATGCATTTTCACTATATAATCAATAGAGCCCCACCCTAACACCAGAACCCCTGACCCTGGGACCATAAAATTCACAATTTTGGTAGAGCCACTCTTGCTCATCATAACTATGTACTTAATTAGTTTATTTAATACTAAGGAACAGAGAAGAAGATTTTCAAAGAAATAATGCATTTTCACTATATAATCAATAGAGCCCCACCCTAACACCAGAACCCCTGACCCTGGGGCCATAAAATTCACAATTTTGATAGAGGCATTCTTGCTCATCATAACTATTCACTTAGTTAGTTTATTTAATACCTAGGAGCAGAGAAGAAGATTTTCAAAGAAATAATGCATTTTCACTATATAATCAATAGAGCCCCGCCCTAACAACAGAACCCCTGACCCTGGGGCCATGAATTTCACAATTTTGGTAGAGGACTCATTGCTGATTACAATCATACCAACAGTTTGACTGCTTGATGTCCAGGAGTAAAGAAGAAGATTTTTAAAGATTGCACTAATTTTAGTGGTTTTTGCCCCACCCCCCCAGGCCCCAGGGGGGCAGGGACCATGAAATTCACAATTTTTGTTCCCCTTCACCCATAGATGTTATATGCCAAATTTGGTTTAAATTGGTTCAGTGGTTTTAGAGAAGAAGCTGAAAATGTTCAAATGTTAACGCACGACGGACGACGACGGACGAAAACGGATAGCAATAGGTCTCCTGAGTGACTCAGGTGACCTAAAAACCTGTTTATGATGCATTTGATATATAAATATTGTTACTTTAACAGAAAATAAGGCATATTAATTTCAAACCTTATAAATAACTACAATGTTTATTGAAGTGTAACCAATTCATTGAATAAGATAAAATCATGTCTATTCCATTTTTGAAGAAAAAAAAATTCAATTTTGTCTTTGTATTTGTGTTCTTTCCAATTGTACCAATTGAAAACTCAGAGAAAGTTACTCCGTATGCAGCGTTTGACGCTAAAAGAGCATGCAAAAGCAGACAGGATGGCGTCTGCAGGGGATTCCCTTAGAAAAATCTGTAAAAACTTAAAACAATAAAAAACTTATGAGTTCCACTCTTGAAAAATTGTTCCAAATAGCTAAATAAACATAAAAATGTTACTATAGAAAACCACAGCATTAAGTTAGCAGCATACAATAAGTTGAAAATTGTTCCACAAAACTGGGTCAACCGGAAGTGGGGTGGATTTGGTATGAACACTAAGGTATCAGATGATTACTAGGAGATATTAGAGTCAATGACTGTTTGTTATTTTATTTTTAACTTAGGGACTACTCCTGTGGCAATCTCACAGACCCCTTTAGTGATCAAGAATTTCAAATCTGTGCAAAAATGGTGCGCAGTGCACAGCTGGAAATTGGTTTTCGGACAAGAAGGTCATTCAAGGGTTTTTTATGATGCCAAGACATTTGTCAATCCCACTGCTTTTGAAATAATGGCATATCATATTCACTAGAACCGATCCGGCAAATGTTCAATTCACAAATAAAAATTTACAAGTGGTGCGTTAGCAATTTTGTCTAGTGTATACAAGTAATTAACAGTGCTCTTCAAAGGGAATGCAAAAGGTGAATGGAAAAAGCAAGAGCCACTTTGGGCCTAATTTGGCCCTGAGAATTTTTGAAAAATCAAAAGGGCTCCGTTTAGGTTGAAAATGCAGTATTTCTCACTTGGAGTGTTGGTAATCACGTATCTATTAATCATGACATAATTTTCCCTCTAGTCAAAGCATTATGATGTCATAAATGCATTATTTTCCTTATAGCCTATAAATTCATTTCTAAATGGCCTAATGTTGAAGTATTTTTTCAATATTTCATATAGAGCACAACCTCTGATCCAAAATATGCTTATACATAATGAAAGATCTGTTTCTGAAGATAAAAAAAACATGCTTTGCGGTTTATACAGCATAAACTGCCCCAAGTTATGTTATATTGTATAACAAAAGTTGAAATAAGCTTCGTTCCTTAAATAAATATAACTAGGCAGAAGGCACTGTGTCCCTTGACTGTTTTATCTTAGAATTATACGGTTAGACTTTACATAGTTTAAATAGTTTCCTTGCTGTATTTTTTATACAGGGGATCTGTAGGAACATCTAGTTAATATCTCTACATACACTTACCACAGTTACTCTCGCCATTCAACACGTGGAAAATAAAGAAATTTTGCATCCAGAAGGCATCACACACACACATTTTGGACTTATTATCACAGTAGCCATGTCCAGAACAATTAATTTGGCAAACTGAAAGATAAAATATCAACAGTTCATAAAATACATAGAATAAAAAGGGTAACAAGACCAACTAATGAAAAAAGTGTCTAGGAAATAAGCCAACCCCACATTCACCTAGCTTATGAATACACATAAATGATTTTGGCTACAATTCAAAAGAGAAGAATGGATACACTGTTACAAAGGTACCTATCATTTCTAAAGTGCTAACATATTGTGTCTAGGGACAGGACTTTGTAGTTGAGTATATAATTTGTATATCTATTACCTACTGTTCCTAAAGACAGGATTTTGTAGCCGAGTATATGATTGGTATACTGACCTATTGTGTCTAGGGACAGGACTTTGTAGTTGAGTATATGATTGGTATACTGACCTATTGTGTCTAGGGACAGGACTTTGTAGTTGAGTATATGATTGGTATACTGACCTATTGTGTCTAGGGACAGGACTTTGTAGTCAAGTATATGATTGGTATACTGACCTATTGTGTCTAGGGACAGGACTTTGTAGTCAAGTATATGATTGGTATACTGACCTTTTGTGTCTATAGGGACAAGACTTTGTAGTCAAGTATATGATTGGTATACTGACCTATTGTGTCTAGGGACAGGACTTTGTAGTCAAGTATATGATTTGTATATCTATTACCTATTGTGTCTAGGGACAGGACTTTGTAGTCAAGTATATGATTGGTATACTGACCTATTGTGTCTAGGGACAGGACTTTGTAGTCAAGTATATAATTTTTATATCTATTACCTATTGCTCCCAAAGACAGGACTTTGTAGTCAAGTATATGATTGGTATACTGACCTATTGTGTGTAGGGACAGGACTTTGTAGTCAAGTATATGATTTGTATATCTATTACCTATTGTGTCTAGGGACAGGACTTTGTAGTCAAGTATATGATTGGTATACTGGCCTACTGTGTCTAGGGACAGGACTTTGTAGTCAAGTATATAATTTTTATATTTATTACCTATTGCTCCTAAAGACAGGACTTTGTAGTCAAGTATATGATTGGTATACTGACCTACTGTGTCTAGGGACAGGACTTTGTAGTCAAGTATATGATTGGTATACTGACCTACTGTGTCTAGGGACAGGACTTTGTAGTCAAGTATATGATTTGTATATCTATTACCTATTGTGTCTAGGGACAGGACTTTGTAGTCAAGTATATGATTGGTATACTGACCTTTTGTGTCTAGGGACAGGACTTTGTAGTAAAGTATATGATTGGTATACTGACCTATTGTGTCTAGGGACAGGACTTTGTAGTCAAGTATATAATTTTTATATCATTTACCTATTGCTCCTAAAGACAGGACTTTGTAGTCAAGTATATGATTGGTATACTGACCTATTGTGTCTAGGGACAGGACTTTGTAGTCAAGTATGTAATTTTTATATCTATTACCTATTGCTCCTAAAGACAGGACTTTGTAGTCAAGTATATGATTGGTATACTGACCTATTGTGTCTAGGGACAGGACTTTGTAGTCAAGTATATGATTGGTATACTGACCTATTGTGTCTAGGGACAGGACGTTGTAGTTGAGTATATGATTGGTGTACTGACCTATTGTGTCTAGGGACAGGACTTTGTAGTACAGTATATGATTGGTATACTGACCTATTGTGTCTAGGGACAGGACTTTGTAGTTGAGTATATGATTGGTATACTGACCTATTGTGTCTAGGGACAGGACTTTGTAGTCAAGCATATGATTGGTATACTGACCTATTGTGTGTAGGGACAGGACTTTGTAGTCAAGTATATGATTGGTATACTGACCTATTGTGTCTAAGGACAGGACTTTGTAGTCAAGTATATAATTTTTATATCTATTACCTATTGCTCCTAAAGACAGGACTTTGTAGTTGAGTATATGATTGGTATACTGACCTATTGTGTCTAGGGACAGGACTTTGTAGTCAAGTATATGATTGGTATACTGACCTATTGTGTGTAGGGACAGGACTTTGTAGTCAAGTATATGATTGGTATACTGACCTATTGTGTCTAGAGATAGGACTTTGTAGTCAAGTATATGATTGGTATACTGACCTATTGTGTGTAGGGACTGGACTTTGTAGTTGAGTATATGATTGGTATACTGACCTATTGTGTGTAGGGACAGGACTTTGTAGTAAAGTATATGATTGGTATACTGACCTATTGTGTCTATGGACAGGACCTTGTAGTTGAGTATATGGTTATTTGAGGACTCCAGCTGCTCCTTTAGAAGTTTAGCGGTCTCTAGGCCTGGTCTGTAGACCTGTGTCTCTTTTTTTACAGTCGTCACATAGAAACTGACATGTAACCTTCAAAAAAAGATAAACACACATTATACTCTTTAAAATATTGTCTGTCTGGAGATGTAATGTAAAAGTTCTTTTTTTTCCCTGTGGGAATAATTTAGGGTATGTATGCAGTCACATATCTCCACAAAAATTAATTACAATGTACTTCAGTGCATTTAAAAAAATTAAATCACAACTCTAGACATCTGCATAATTTTAAGTCTGTGGATTACAATGAAAATTCATGGAATTATAACCCTGTAATAAGACAGTATACGGTACAGGCTGCAGATTTTGTAGCTCTACCCTAACATTACAATCGTTTTAAACTTACAGTGACTGGGGAGACATATGGAGATTTTGTATCTGTATATTGGCGTCCCCTTCAGTCGAGTCAGGTAACATGGAGGCCAGCTGACTCCGCAGGTTCTCCTTATCCTCCTCAGTGAACTCCTTAAGATTTGTGTCCAGAGTCAACTCCATCAAGTCATTTTTATGGGAGTCTGAAAATTCAAGACATCAAGATTGAATACAATTCTAAACAAGTATCTCTTAATAATTTAAAGACATCATATATATTCACTTGAAAAACAGCAGTACAATGATATTAGTTTTTCCTAGACACACATTCACATATAGAGTTCATGAACTAAATTACAAGGAAAAATCTAAATAAACATGTATGAATGAACCTTATGTTTGATGTTTTCCATTTTTGTTCCTTACCCTCTTTAACCAGCAGATGGGCTGTGTCTGAACTTGACAAACCCTCAGCATCAAACACAGTCAGTTTGAAGATGTACTTCCCAGCGACTAAATTAACCAGCTGTAAAACAGCCTTGTGCTCTGAGCCATTTAACACATCCTGTAAATCAAGGTAAACATCTACATGTTTCTGTGTACTAGACTAATATCATAAAATTTCAAGTAGATATTCCTGAACTTCTAATGATTTTTTGCCAAAAAAAAAAAATGAAAAAAAAAAATATAAGAAAAAAGATTATATTCTACATATACAAAACAAGTTCCCAGTAAGTGTTTGTGAGTTAACGTCCAGACTAGATTTTGTGACAGGCGTACAGACAGCCATGCCAAAACTCAAACATCTCCCATTGGTGGTAAAATAGCAAGAAAATTTCAAAGTAGAAAAACCAAAACCTACCCCAGCGGCTAGACTTTTAGCATCCCTCTCCCAGTTGTATCGGACAATCTTCTTGTCATCTGAGGACTGGGATCCATCAATTTCCACCAAAGTCACGGGGAGGGTAACAATTCTATCCCCTCCAGCTCTGCTGACTGGCTTTTTGTTTGGTACTGAATTTACATATTGTTTTTATCTAATTACTTAAGGATTATTCCTATGATTTCTGAAGTTCATTTTTTAATTAGTAAATTCAGAAATTTACTAACTATTCTTAATACTATAACCACACCATAAAAATATTTTTCAAACCAAATTGAAGTGAAGTACTTCTTAACAGATGCATCAAACTATGTTAAACTTCATAATGAAGCAAAATTGTCTTATGCACTTCCTTACAAATGCGTTTCAATGTACATGTATATACTTTACTGGCTTAGAAACTTACATTCCTTGACCACAATGGTCAGTTTCTGTGTGGACTGAAGCTTCTCCTGGTCAGAGACGGTCAGTTTAAATGTGTACTCCCCCGGGGTTATGTCCCCTACTGCCTTGGCTACAGACAAGTTACTGTCCTGTATCTTGAGAGTGGGTGAGCCCCTGCCAGAAAACAAAGAAAATATTAAGGTGCCTCTAACAGTCCTGTAAGCATATTACAAATCCATGTTTCTAATGAACAGTGAATTTAAGATAATGCAAGAAAAGACATCAATATGTGTTATTCATTGAAATCTTTGATGTCATTATGGATTTAATATTCGCAAGTGTATCTATTGTCATACCCTGTCTGTAGCCAGGAGTAACTGACAATCTTCTTATCATCTGTCGAGTTTCGTCCATCCAGTACCAGTTCCTTTAGAGGTAGAATCCTAGTGAGCTTACGTGCCGTGACAGCAACAGGGGCTGTGTTAACATCTAGAGAGAGTAAAAAAGGTCTGTGTAACTGGTTTATTTGCAGCATATCTTTAAGTGTCCCTGTGCCACCCAAGGAGCGAATGGGAATAAGTCAAGTAAAGTCATCTTTAAGAATATTTTGAATAAATACAAACTGATATAAAAATCTAAATTTGTAAATCACACATATATACTGTATGTGTATATAAATTGGCATATTTCAATTTCAGCGGAATCACTGGGCATTGCGTTATTGGCATATTCATGAATTAGTGCTACACACTAACACACGGTATATTTTATTTATGAATGATTACTTTGCAGTATTCATGAATTAGCGCATCGCTTGTTGCGCGAAAGCTGCTAAAATATGAAGCCCGCTTTTTTAAGTACACATACAGCATACGTGTACATATTACATCAAAATTTGTTTGAAAATGTAAAAAAAATTTTCATTCTCTCATTAAAGAGAAATGATGTAAGATAGCTAATGGTCTTTATACCTGGTTTCACAAACAGGTGTACTGTGGCTTGAGACACCTGGTCAGCTGTGTCTGTGACTTTCAAGGTAAAAGCATAGTCCCCCTCCTGTAGTTTGGACAGGTGCAAGAATGGGGATGTAGTACCCTAAAAGAAAAACAATAATTCATTTATATACTTAGACCTTTACAAATAAATGTAAATTCACAAATAAAGTAAATGCCATCTCTCAAGTTTTGTCAGGTAACACAATTTTAAAACTTGTAACAAGATTATTTTTAACAATCTGATGGACCATATCAGCTGTCTGTTTGCCATCAAGAGACTTGATCCATTCCTAACTGCTCTGATCAATAAGTGGTTTGTACTTGCCTTCATATTGTTTCAGTGTACTTTGATCATATGAGTGTTTGTGTACTTACTGTCATATCAGCTGTTTGTTTGCCGTCAGGAGACTTGATCCATTCATAACTTTTAATGCCCTTGTCGTCAGTGCTGGAATTCCCATACAAAATAACCGAGTCCTGGGGAAGGTGAATCACCATGTCTGATCCAGCATCAGCTTTAGGAGGATAGTCTGTCTCTATGTTAAGATAAAAATCAACAAGTAAATCAAGGGAAGAAACTCTGTGTAAATTTGCCAAAATAAATATTAAAATTACATTAAATCAATTTTTATTTCTCACAAGTGGTGCTTCAAACTGACAAGTAAAATTTTTAAAGTATTTTCTGATGATAAACACAATTTCTTTTAAGAAATAAAAAAAATTGTGCTCTCACCTTTTATCACAGTTACATTGGCAACAGTTGAATTTGTAGCACCATCAGAATCAGTGACTGTCAGTCTGAAATGATAGCAGCCTCCTTTAACAGATTTATTCAATATCCATCAGTCAACACATAATAACTAACCATTTACAGTGACTTGTATGTTTTTCAATTTGTTACTGAATTACGTTTACTTTTACAAAAGTAAAATTCCCAAGAGAAATATGATAAACCCCCTCCATTGTTAGATCTGGGACCTACTTAAATATGTAGTTTCCTGGTACGAGTCCCTTCAGGGTCAGCATGTTCTTGTCATCCTGGATTTTGTGGTCCTGTAGCGGGCCGCTCATCTCCTCCCACAGGTACTTGACTATCTTATCATCATCAGAACTGTCTGTACACAGAAATACAACATAACTAACATAGAAAATGTCATCAAAGTACTTCAATCTTATCATCATCAGAACTGTCTGTACACAGAAACACAACATAATTAACATTACAGGCATGGAAAATGTCATCAACATGTTAACCAGAGAGATACAGAGAGAAAACAACATTTTCTAAATGAGTATAATATTAGTATTAAATTTTCAGAATGCTTGTTTAAAGTGATTACTGTATAGGGGGAAAATAACTCGCGGTGTTAATATTGGCTATATTCACGGTGTTCATAAATCCGTGAATTCAAGAAACAGTGAATAACTTTTCAATAATCTCCACGTTTTATTTGGAAAATTGAGAATAAACTACGAAAGGTTTATATACATATACGTGCAGTACATGGTCATTTAAGTAATTACGAGTAGTACTTGTCATTCAATTATTTCAATTATCACGCTTTACTTTAATTCTTATCAGCAGATAATAACCTGTATTTGTTAAAAAGCTGTTTTAATAGCCAACGCTACATGTTTCGTCAATCAAAACATGTGGGCCATGGTTTTGATTACATCAGATTAAAAAAAATCGGAGAGGGCTACATTATTGCAGCTAATTAATTTTAATCGACATTTTGAAAACATTCAAATAGCTATCGAACTTACTGAAGATTTTGGAAGGATAATATTTCGTTGACCTACATTAACACATTTATTACCGTCCAGTGGTTTTTCTCCGCCTTGTATTGAAGATCTTGGGGTGTACATGCACTCATCGTAATTGCATTTAGGAAAGTCGTTAAATGTTTATAATCAAGGACGTTTTATAACTGCATTTGTTTTAATAAATCGTCAATTATTTATTAAATCTAACAATTTTATCGTAACCTACCCTGTTGATGTCGTTTATATGTAGCTTAAACGGATATAGACAAGGGAGGTAACTTTTATTTTACATCAACTCCGCGAATTTAAGAAACCGCGATCGTGTCAGATGAAAGAAAAACGTGAAAATTACAACCCGTGAAATTAATCCCCTATACAGTAACTGAGAAATCAATGATGTCTAAACTTTTAAATGACATGACAACCTATCATACATTCCAAAGTGGCTTACCAGAGCCATCCAAAATGGCAGAATTAGGAAGTTTAACAATTTGCTTTGTTGGTTTTATGACCGCAACTGGAGGACTGTTTTTCCTGGCAGCTAAAATAAAGAAGGACATTCATGTAAATTCAAAACCAAGGACATTCAAAGAGATATTCATGTTTATTCCATCATTGATGCCACATACTTGGATAAAACAGTCTTGAATGCTAAAGGCTTTAATTTGATTCTAGTTTCACAAATATGCTGCACAGTTAATAACTAGTCATCTATTCTTAGACTACATCACAAGATATATGCATATTGTGAAACTTAGGGCGTTTTTGCTTAATTTGAAATACCCGGTAGGTATATTATAGTCAGTTTTATAAAAGACTGCTCTGAATTGAAGTTCTTTTTTTTTTTTTTAATGTAATGTACTTGATATCGATCACATTTTCAATGCATCTGTTATATTACGAAGTTAGTGACTTGATCTGGCAAAACAGAAGGTAAGTAAAGACAATGTGTGTCGTAATTTCCCCAATAATTGCCCAAAACTTTTTTTCCTCCTCTCATACAGAGGAGTATTTTTTTAAATTTTATTTCACCCAAAATATTACAGATTTTCACTTAGTATTAAAAGTTAAAGTTAAATTCTTTTTGTCTAAATAACTATCATGATACATATAACAGAAATGTGAGTAAACTTACGCGGTGAGACTGTGACATTAACATACGCCTCTCCTGCCCGGTTTTCACCTGTGACCTCAATCTTGAAGGTGTAAAGCCCTGCTATCAACTGTAAAAAAGATTTATACACAATAAAAGTATACCACATATTCTAGCATATATTTTACAATAAACAAGACAATTTCTTTCTTCTCCATTTTTTTTTCTGCTATACAAGTCACACTACTTTTTTTACCTTCTTGTTTTTTTTCGCCTAGTGCGTTTCTTACCTTAGAGATAGTCAGTTTGTCTGTGTTTTTCCCAACCATGGTTCCTTTCTCAGCACCTTCAGGAGAGTTTACCAATGACCACTCATATTGGAATTTTTCACCTGTCCACAGAAAACAAAATAAGAGTGCCTACATTACAAAGATATGTATGAGAGGATTATTTTCAAGAAATTCTACATGCAGACCTCTCCTTTTCTTGCCTAAAAATATTTTAGTCAATGTCCAATCTTACCCTCTGTAAGGGGAGGGGGGGAGGGTCAGGGAGGAAGAGAAAGGGGGAGGGTCTGTCTGTGTCTGTGTTATCAATGGATGAGCTTGCTATAGGTACAACTATATGTAACTTTATATACAAAGTATTGCACACATATATAGTTTCTATTTAATTTTTCTATCACTTTGTATTGATTGTCCCTTGTTATGTTGATACCTGTGACCTGAGTATACCTTTGTTTTCTTTCTCTAGTACAAAACAGGTCAGCACAGTCTCGTCTTTGGGCAGTTGTAACTCTACATTGCTCCCCGCTGATACCGTTAACTTGGAAACTGAAGTAAAAAGAATGATAAACAGGTTAAAATGGATTTCTATTATGTCAACTGTGACTAGTGTATGAAGTAGATTTGCGCATTATAAATACAAATGGCAACTTTATTTGCTATTTTGAACATCAGTCCATGGGATCTTTACAGTATTTCATTTGTCAATTAAACATATCAAATATCAAAAAATACCAAATACATTTTAACAGCTGTTATCTCTTTTTTTAAAATATCAACTGTATTTTCAATAAGATTGAGTGCATCATTTTCATTACACTTCAAAAGATCAAAAGCTAGGATTATATTGATGAATGCAGGGTGTCTTACTCTAGGATGTAAACATAGTTTTTTTGAAGTTTAAACAGCAGTTAAACTGGTCAGAATTTTCTGAAAAGATCAAAGTAAGTATATGTAAATCCCTTTCAATGCTTCTGATTTTACCAGCACATGCATGCATTGTCCATCAGTTACCCACAAGCATGCCATATTGACATCTCTTCTTGAGCACCACTGATGAAATTCACCAAGATAAAAAAAAAATAAAATGGGAAATGAAATTTATCATGCAAAAACCCTTTGTCCCTGGAACAGAAAGCTAGAATTTATAGGAAATGCTTTTTTGCCTAAAACCTATGAAATAATCATCATTGCCACACCTCTCTTAGAGATAATTAAATGTAATTTTATTGAATCTTTAATTTTTATGAATTTTCTAAATACCAGTAATTTTATTTAAACAATGAATGTTAACCAAGAGATTGAGAGAACCAGTGCACAACTGACAGACACACCAGCGATGAATACAAAATGTCTCACTTGTCTCATTTAACCGTCCTCGTTTACTTCGACGACCTGCTTCTTTAAAACAATACACTTCATCAAAGAATCATTATTTTATTATACGACTTACTGATGCAAGAAAACATATTTCTGCATGCAGGAAATAAAATACAGGATAATCATAAATATAGGATGCAGGAATTATATCATTGAGAGCCTTTTGATTTCACCCAAAACTTAATACATGTTGTACTAAAATAAGTAGTCTCCTTTGGATAACAAGAGAACACTAGAACTGTCCAAACGGGACAAAATACCCCCCGCTGGGTTTTTCAGAAGTAAGTTTTTCCGTAATAAAGATATGTATCAAACATGAATTATAAAATTTTTCTTCCAGTGACCTTGAAGTTCCCCAAATGACCTTGGGTCAGGGTAACGACACACCCTTGGGTCATGGGCAATCTTTGTGTGAATTGACAACCACCAAGTTTATCCATAAGAAAGATATCGACAGGACAAGAATTACAAATTCTTCCTTCCAGTGACCTTAAACTTCCCTAAATGACCTTGGGTCAAGGTCATGAAACACCCTTAGGTCATGGGCAATGTTTGTGTGAAATGACAACCTACCAAGTTTATCAATAAGAAAGATATGGACCAAATATGAATTATGAAATTTTTCTTCCAGTGACCTTGAAGTTCCCCAAATGACCTTTAGTCAAGGTCATGACACACCCTTAGGTCATGGGCAATGTTTGTGTGAAATGACAACCTACCAAGTTTATCCATAAGAAAGATATGGACCAAACATGAATTATTAAATTTTTCTTCCAGTGACCTTGAAGTTCCCTAAATGACCTTGGGTCAAGGTCATGACACACCCTTGGGTCATGAGCTATCTTTGTGTGAAATGAGAACCTACCAAGTTTATCCATAAGAAAGATATGGACCGGACACGAATTATGAAATTTTTCTTCCAGTGACCTTGAACTTCCCCAAATGAACTTGGGTCAAGGTCATGACACACCCTTGGGTCATAGGCAATCTTTGTGTGAAATGAAAACCTACCAAGTTTATTTATAAGAAAGATATGGACCGGACACAAATTATGAAATTTTTCTTCCAGTGACCTTGAAGTTCCCCAAATGACCTTGGGTCAAGGTCATGACACACCCTTAGGTCATGGGCAATCTTTGTGTGGAGTAGTAGATTCTTATGTCCCTCTGTAAGAAAGATATCGATTGCACAGACAGACGGACAGCCGGACAGACAGCTAGATGGACAGACGGACAAGGTGATTCCTATATACCCCCCCAAACTTTGTTTGCGGGGGGTATAATAAGAGAGTCCCCTTGATTTTTTTGAGAGTAAGGAAATATTTAGGAATTGTGTCAAGTAGATAGTAGAGGTCAGGCAAATGCAGGGTTTTTAGAAAATTAAGTGATTGCAGTATAAGCCTCTATAGGTACCACAGCTTAATATTAATTGACAGTAAACAGAACAAGTAAATGCAATACTTTGGTACTATAGTGAAGTATTGTTCAACAGTACTGTAAATTCCTTATTAAAATTCATTATCGTGTAATTTCACGAAATAAAATTACCCACTTTTATTTTTAAAGTGATCAAATCCATGTAAATTCTCTTGATTTACAGTCCAATCACAAATAAATATTCTCACAATTTGACGTTAAAGAGCCATTTCACGTTAACAAGTACCTGCAGAAAATAAGGAATCTACAGTAAATAAGACAGGCAAATACAGAGAGCAGGTGAATACTTAGGTTTTACAGTACAGTGTATGGTTTTCTATTACAGAGAACGAAACAGATAAATTAAAGTACTAGGTACTTTTTGTTTAGTATTGTTTAACATTAAAGAGAATAGGTATATGCAGTATTTAGGTACTAAGGTACATGTAAAATATCATTATACTGCAAAGGGAATAGGTGAATACTGGTGAATACAGTACTTAGATACTACTAACCTTTTGGTGTGGTACTGACCATCTTAGTGGTTGTACTTGGAATCTGAAAATAATAATGAAATTTATTTAAAAAAAAACTTTAGGACTTTTACTACTACAAAATGGAAAACAAGACTTTTAGTTTTCCTATCTTTTTATAATCCCCATTATTAATATCACCAAAAAGATTTCTATTCTTCAAAACTACGGTAATAAGCTATTTTAAAAGGTTAACTCCCAAAAAAAATTGTAAGCAAAATAATGATCAAACTGGTACAGTTATTCCATTTGAGGATACAAAAAAGTTGAGCTTTAGTCAGTGCATTTGGCCTACATTTAAAGAGATGAGGATAAGAAAAAGCATTTTGAACAGCCTACTTTAAATTTTATTTTTCTAACAAGTAATGACAAGCCAACATGAGATCTTTCTATCTAAAATCAGATTTTTTTAAACAATGAATCCAACCTACAACCATACAGTAGTGTGACTGTAAAACTTTCACTCCAAGCAGGAAACTTTCCTTTGTGATTGTTACCACCATTATTTCTTAAATGTTATCACTTTGGCTAAGACCATGATATCTTTGGTGTAACACTGTGGTAACCACCATTTCTGGTTACCACCATTATTTTTTAACTTACTGCTGTGGTTACCATCTTTATTTCTTTAACTTACCTCTGTGGTACTGGTGCTAAGAACACAGATGTTATCTGTTCCCATGTAGTAGCCCTGGACATTTCTATAACTTACCACTGTGGTAACCACCTTTATTTCTTTAACTTACCACTGTGATAACCACCACTATTTCTTTACTTTATTGCAGTGGTAACCAGCATTATTTCTTTGACTTACCACTGTGGTAACCACCTTTATTTCTTTAACTTACCACTGTGGTACTGGTGCTAAGAACACAGATGTTATCTGTTCCCATGTAGTAGCCCTGGACATTTCTATAACTTACCACTGTGGTACTGGTGCTAAGAACACAGATGTTATCCGTTCCCATGTAGTAGCCCTGGACACAGACACAGATTCCGGACCTCTTCATGGAGTTCTTGGGGAGGTAACATTCCTGATGCTCCCCACAGGAATTCAAACCATACTCACACACTTTGACTGACTTCTCAATGTCCGTCTTGGTGGTAGTAGTGGTTAGTGTGGTGGGACTGGTTGTAGCTGTAATAAAAGGATAATATCATAAATAACCTTTTGAAAAGAAAATCTTTTTTCCTTCACTGTTTTAAAATCCTAACCCAGTTAATGTCTATATTAGTGAATGGTCATCATATCTAAGGCTTAAAAAAGAAATTGATTATACCTTCATAAAATACTTATATCAGTTTAATAACTCAATTGATTACCCCTTATGAGCTCCAAATGGTGAAATAAGGGTCGTTGACCTGGCTCACTTGCTGACCTGAACTTGGCTGCGCTACCCAGGCCAGGTCACCATATGGACCTGGTCTCAGGTCTTATTTCACCATGTTGATCTCATCAGGTGTGTATTAACTAACTAACTATATATTAGGATATAAGAAAGCAATATCACCTTCCCTTGTCATTTGCTATAGCCATGTTATACTGTACCTTTAGTTTCGGTGGCCACACATGCTTTACTGCTATCCCTGTGGTACCCCTTCTTACACCTACAGGTGCCCACCCTTCTGTGTGTGTGGAGGGGCAGGTAACACTCCTCATTCTGGTGAGGACATGTGTTGTCTAGAGGAAACTCACACTCCACGTCAGTAAGTGAGGAGTCATCCACAGGGGAAGACAACAGGGCTACACAGAATACCATCACACAATATTCTTATTCTTATACATGAAATACTACATTTATTTTGCTGCAACTTTTCATCTGACTAGAGTAAAAATATACAGCATTATTGAGATAATAAACCAGAAGTCTCTGTCGAGACTGTAGCTCTACTGGTTTATACTTAAAACAAAGGAAGAGAAAAGTAGCAGTTGGGACTTGAGACTTTAAAACAGCAATAAGTAAAAAAAAAAAGATCCCTGCCACTCATCAAAATAAAAACCTATGCACAGAATTATGTATCTTAGTATAGTCTACTTGTGTGCCAAGTTATATTGAAATCGAACCAAAACTGTAGGAGAAGTAGCATTTTGAAAGAATTTCACAGAATTTTCTATTTTTAGTAACCATGGCAACACTGTTCATCAAAATCAAAAACCAATGCAAAGAGTTATGTATCTTAGTGTAGTCTACTTGTGTGCCAAGTTATATTGAAATCGGACAAAAACTGTAGGAGGAGTAGCATTTTGAAAGAATTTCACAGAAATTTCTATTTTTAGTAACCCTGACAACACCGTTCATCGAAATCAAAAACCAATGCACAGAATTATGTATCTTAGTGTAGTCTACTTGTGTGCAAGGTTATATTAAAATCAGACCAAAGTTGTAGGAGGAGTAGCATTTTGAAAGAATTTCACAGAAATTTCTATTTTTAGTAACCACGGCAACATCGTTCATCGAAATCAAAAACCAATGCACAGAATTATGTATCTTAGTAGTCTACTTGTGTGCCAAGTTATATTGAAATCGAACCAAAACTGTAGGAGGAGTAGCATTTTGAAAGAATTTCACAGAAATTTATATTTTTAGTAACCATGGCAACACCATTCATCAAAATCAAAAAACGATGCATAGAATTATGTACCTTAGTGTAGTCTACTTGTGTGCCAAGTTATACTGAAATCGGATCAAAACTGTAGGAGGAGTAGCATTTTAAAAGAATTTCACAGAAATTTCTATTTTTAGTAACCATGGCAACACCGTTCATCGAAAGCAAAAACCGATGCATAGAATTATGTATCTTAGTGTAGTCTACTTGTGTGTTAAGTTATATTAAAATCAGATCAAAATTGTAGGAGGAGTAGCATTTTGAAAGACTTTCACAGAAATTTCTATTTTTAGTAACCACGGCAACACCGTTCATCGAAATCAAAAACCAATGCACAGAATTATGTATCTTAGTGTAGTCTACTTGTGTGCCAAGTTATATTGAAATCAGACCAAAACTGTAGGAGGAGTAGCATTTTGAAAGAATTTCACAGAAATTTCTATTTTTAGTAACCATGGCAACACCATTCATCGAAATCAAAAACCGATGCACAGAATTATGAACCTTAGTGTAGTCTACTTGTGTGCCAAGTTATATTGAAATCGAACCAAAACTGTAGGAGGAGTAGCATTTTGAAAAATTGTTTACAGACAGACAGACAGACAGACAGACAGACGGACGGATGACGGACGCATTACTATCGCATAAGCTCTTCTGGTCTCTGACCAGTAGAGCTAAAAAATTCCAAATGAACAATAATTTTTTTTTGTTTGAAAGCAATGTATAAGTACAAACATTTACATGTATTTCAATTTACTACAATCTTTATCAGCGAGACTACATGATGAATTATTCTAGACAATGTTGACATACCCACACAGTTCCCTAGCTGATCCTGTATATATCCTGATTTACAGACACACTGTGTGACACCGCCCTCCGAGATAAATCTACACTCCTCCCCCTCCTTACACCCATTGTTATTCAACAGGTCACACTGTTGATACACTGAAAAAAATTACAATAAATTAACAAATGATAATTTATCCACTTCTGACTTGAAGTCCATAGACAATTTGGTGTTAAATAAATTGCTTAACAATACGTATAAAAGACGTAAGTCAAAATTTAACCTAATGATAGTTTGTATTTGCAAGCAAGATTATAGAATCTCTACTGCAGAATTAGCAAAATGTCATTATCTTATTTATCAAGACAGACCATAAATACCCCCGGTAAAAATGAAAAAAATCTATTTATTTCATAAACTAAATGCAATACACTGTTTAAATGATATTATCCATTGTATATTTTAGGACCTACACTGCACTTATGAATCTAGTTTTTTGGATATTGGGGAAAAAAATGAATTGTACAGAGATGTCAACTGCACAATAGCTATTTTGTTGTTTTTGCTAAAATAAAAACATTCACAATAAAATTATTTATTATATTCCAAAGTGTGTTCACTCAATTTTACTGTTGAATTTATGAGATCATGTGGTGATGTGATCCGACTTTCGGAGTTTCCAGATCACCACACTTTTTCTTAATCTTGGCAATGATTCTATGAATTGGCTACAATACCTGAAATAGTTTGTGGGGTTGAGGGGTTTCCAAAATCAATAAATAAAACTTATTGATTTAAATGACAAATATTGAAGTGTGATGGTTAAATTGTTCAACAACTGTTACATTCTGACCTGGCTGAATACACCACAGCTTTGTGACCGTAGCTAACAGGTTATTGTTGTTTACATTGTTTTATTGACTTTTTTGCGGATCAAAATTAAAGTTCCTCGAAAAAAATGTTTTGATTTATCAAAGGTATATCATTGGCCCCATAAGTTTTGATTTCATTACTTTTGCTAATTGTAGAGGGGTATTTAATAAATTTATCATTTTAACAGTAACTTGATCCAAAGAGCCATATCACGCCTCGTTGACATGCGCGGATCATCAGATCAAACTAGATGCTTCACGTTTCGTTCGATCTGGTGATCCACACCTGTCATCTTGACGTGACAAAGCTCTTCGGATCAAGTTGCTGTTATAAACATTTATATTTATATCACTTACATTATTAACCCCCTTCCCCGCAGTCATGCATTTTAACGCATAAACCATTTCCCATTTCTAACGCGAAATCACGCATATACCGTTTCCCGCAATCACGCATTTTCACGCACCTTAAAATGTTAATTTAATTTTAAATTTAATGTCAATGTTCTTCTACTTTATACTTGAAAAAATCTCATAAAATAAGAAAAGTTATTTTTGTATCAAAATTTAACGTCATAACATTATTTATGCTAAATTTTAGAGAAACGTGTACCACGCTAAAAGGTGCTTGCAGGGAAAAGGTAAATTTCTCTTTCTATGATGTTAACATTAAGTGTATGTTGCATAACAGTTCAGTAAGTTGTAAAGAGTAAATAGTATATATATATTGTACCATTATAAATACAACCTACCTACATCCCTGACGTTGATGTAGAACGTATCGTTATATTTGGCATCAGTCTTAGGAACAGCTTCACACCCTCCAGCGTAAGTCACATTACATTTAATGAGGTAGCACGTATTACCATGAAATAAAGCCGAGTCACAATTATCTGGGTCCTGACAACAGTTCACGACACAAAGCCAGCGATTGGTCGATTTGGCATCCTTGACATACTTCCCTGCTGCAGCCCCTCCTTTTGGGAGAGAACTTTTGTGAATCCGACTCTTAAGAAAACTGGGTTTAACTTCTTTTCCACAAATGTCTGCACCAAATGATTCTAAAATGAATATCAAACATGTTTGTAAAACACATAAAGTGATAAACTAATATTTTTCATTTTAAATTATGGTTTTTCATTTTAAATTATGGAGGTCAATATCCGTGATTGATGTGGACATTTCTTAAAAATTGCATTACCGTAATTTATTTGGCCAAAAAGCATGGAGGACAGTGAAGAACAAACACAGACCAATATTTCATCTGAATGACTCAGGTGCGTAGAAAATATCTACTATAATCAGTCTGAAACTTAGCTTAACACAAAATAAGAACAAAAGATGTTTGTGAAACACTTATGCCCCCCCCCCCCCTCCGGACATACATGTGAAGAAAGTAAACAGAAACTGCAAATAATTGGAATTTTCCGAGTTCAAGGGGCGTGACTCTGTCAAAAATTGCTCCATCATACCCAAAACAGAACTTGACCTAGATATTCTTATGATAAATCTGTACACCAAATTTCATTTTAGGCTTAAAAAAAAATAAGTTTGTTTCCTGTAACATTCCCAAAAAATCAAGGGTCGGTAGGTCGGAAATTCTTTTTTTTTTTTTTTTTTTTTTTTTTTGCTTATGAATTGTCAAACATCCCCGGACCGAAAATACCAGGTGTTATATTTACAGTGGACACCTAATATGGCATCCAAAATGGCTGCCAAGCGGCAGAAAACGAACTTCAGAAAGTTGTAGGGGGAAACTGTTGTTCCAATAATGATTACTCTTTATATTTAAGGTAAATGTACACTAAGTTGACATATTTTATGTCTCAAATTAAGCTACAAGCTATTTTTTTTTATTTAATAAATGGAATCAGCTGATTGATCAAACGAAGTTTTGCCATTTGTCAGAAAAAAAAAATCCACCCGGGGATAATTTGAATGGGTCGGTCGTGTTACAGGAAACAAACGTTTTTTTTTTTTAGGCTTTAGTGCTCTGCAAAGAAAATGCACAGAAACTTTATAGACCAACAGACAGACCTATAGACAGCAGCAGAGCAATATGCTCTACCTTCTTTGAAGAGAATTGGGGGGAGGCAAAAAACTGTGAGTTCAAGGTCACAGAGAGGGTAAAGGCCAGACAGCCATACCACTGTAAAATACTAAAATAGCTCTCACTCATATGCAACAGTGTATAAAATTTGATTATATATCTTGAACAGATTCTTTAATGACAAACCCTTTTTTATTTCCACCATATCCAGGGGTGGGTGGGGGTGGGGGGGGGGTGTCAAAAAATATCCAACATGGGAAGATTTATGTTAACACTGTTAAAGTGTATATGTATTATATTATCCATCAAAAGTGATAATTTGAATTTTTCATTTACATGAAACTAACTTTTAATATTAATTGACTTTTTAAATTAAATTAATATTTCAAGTATTATAAAACCAGTTAATGATTTACAAATTTAACATAACAATTACACAGTGAACAGCTGAAGTACAATATCATTATGATAGATCAATAAGAACTAAAATAATTAATCCATATTGACATGACAAATACTAAACATAAGCTTTTGTCAGCTTTCAGTCACAAGTCCCTGATCAGGGTTAGATGCAGGCTAGGAGACACCAGATGGCAGCCATCGACTGTTCACACAAAACGACTGAGATACCCTAGGCTTGGTGTTAATCTGATCACCACCATAGACCCTGTAAATAATCCCTGTAAAAAGCCTCACAAACCAGAAACTCCCTCTGATTTCTATCAAGCTCATCAAGTACATCGTTCAACACTTGAATGGTTTGCTTCACACAGAAATCTTATTTTTCATTCCTTTCACCTGAAGGTAATTCTAAAGTTCTGCATGACGCTTTTATTCTATATGATCCCATGAAATAACAAGTGCATGTTTTCATTCAATGTAATGAAATTTCAACATCACAATAAACTTTTAGTCCATTGTGCCTTATATATATCAGATGACTTATGTCCACTGGATATAAATGCTCTGTTGAATGGCACATGAAAAGATATGTACTTTTCTTTTTTGGTCTAACATTGCATGATCTAACACCTAAATGAAGTATTATTGTTTCCAAGTTCATTCTCTCATATTTGGCAAATGTGGATTGGCCTTATACATAACTGTATATTTAACTGGCTCAACCCCCATCCCCCCCCCCCCAAAAATGTTGACCAGATCATTTTTAAACTAAAACGGCAGAATCTGAAACCTGAAGTGGTACAGGGAAACATCATCCATGCATTTCGGATCAATATTGAATAAAGGGCATAGAAGTACAATGTACTAGAAAAGAAGTTGTTCTGCTCCAAAATTTTAACCTTGGATGCTTACACTTAAGCATATGCCAAGAGAACATATCTCCAACAAATTTGTTAAGGTGAGCTAAAAATCTTCCTGCCTCTATCAGGAAGTAGACAGTCATTTATCTGTAATCAATGTTCTACCCATTAAGCTCTCCAAATTAATTCGCAATCGCAATAATTCATAAAAATCCAATACGCAATCTCTCTTAATTGCACATCAATCTGGCATTGTGGGTGCTTTTTTGTGTTTGTTGAGTTGCTCATAAAAACTGGTTTCTCTTTATGGTTCAAGCAGTTTCAGCCTATTATGGGGATTTTTAATAAGTATAAGCCTTGAATCAGACAAAAGGGGTTAAGAATCAGCGAGACAAATCAATTACTATTATTAATTTCTGGAAGGAAACATATTCTACATTTTTTATGTATTCATTGACAGTTTTGAGAGGACATCCAAATTGTTTCATAATTATAAATTCACCATCTGATTCTAGCTTTTGGTCCACTAACAATAAAACTGGCTGTATAGTACAGCTAATCAATCGTACAATAAGAATTTAATGTCTTCTTGAGAAACACTAAAAGCTAGGGCATGGCAAAGAAGAGAATCCCCTCACAAAGAACATATCTATGAATCAAGACAGCATTTGATGTCAATCCCAATCGATGCAAATACGTAATTTCTGTTTTGCACGAGAACAAACTATGTATATAACACACAAGCAAGCACGTTACTATGTCCTCACCAAGTCCATTGTCAGAGGATAATCAAGAAATTTTTAGGAAAACAAATCATACTATATCAAATCACACAAATTCAGGCTCTCTTTAATGCTTTATCCCAATGTGTGACAAACTGTCGAAGTTGACAAACCTGACAATGATTCAGATCAATACCACCACGATTCTGACATAGATACATATAACTGTGAACAGAAAGAAAGACATTAACACACCTTATCCCAGCCCTCCACAAAAGAATAGGTAAAGGTTTATTAAAAAAGGTGTTTTTTACAAAGATTTCACTCTTTGCCTAGATAAAGGAATACATGTATTATGACATTGGGCCCTGATTAAAGAAATAATATCAGGCATTATAAGAGGAATTGGGAATTTCTAGGATATATATACAGTGTACTATTAGAGTCTCAGCCATTTATAGGTTGACACATTATTATTAGATCAAAGCATGTTGTATTGTTCTAGACCATGTCATTAACAATTGACCTAATACATCCTAGTGTCCAGAGACCCAAGGTCTTGTGCTGACCACCACTTAACGCTGGCTCAGAAATCAATAACACCAGGCCTCTAACTACTTAAATTTACTGCATTAGAGACTGATAGATCATTAATAAATGATCCGTAATGACACGATTACGCAGAACTTCTTAAAAAATACACACAGAGGGCATCCATCTACTTCATCATGTTCATTTCTTTATGTACTCTAAGTACAATATTTTAAGTAGTCTTTATATAAATGTATTAATATGGAAATATGTTAGTGATGATCAAAGCATTTCAATCACAGTTTGAGGGAATTTTAATGCACAATTCTGTGCCTATTTCCTGATAATTTCTTTAAGTATGCAATAAAAATAATGATTTTAAGACAACAATGGTTCTGCAGAGATTACTTTGTTCTGCAGGAATGTCTACATAAAAGACAAGAAGCCTTACTTGTGAAACTGTGATGGATATTTAGGATCTAACAATACACAATTGCATGACATGCTGGGGTTTCAGATTAATCAATGTCAAAATTAAAAAACTTACCAGAAATGGCGAGGAAAATGATTATTATAATCAGGTTTGTAGCAGACATCCATTTTACACGTGAAATGTCTGTGGACTTTGAGATCATTGTACACATCCTAGCCCATAATGACTGTGGTCAGCATTTAATGAGGGACAAAATCTGCAAATAATATAACAAAATGTTCATAGAAGTTTGTATAAGATTTGAGCCAGAGATAAATATAAATATATAATAATGTCAGCTGATTTACAATAAAGAAATATATCATTTATCATTAGTTCATGTTGTTTGGTGGGAGAAACGAACTCTGTTTGGACAAAAATTTATCTAAGATTTGTTAAAAAGAACTGAAATCTGAAGGGAAAAGTGTATTTTGCTACTAGCAGCTATTGCTGTAATTGGGAAGCTACTTTGAGAGATAACTAGGATGGACTACTGCCTGTACCTCACAGTTCTCCACCAGATAAGCATTATATGACAAGAAAATCAATCTGCTATGTGTGATTTCCCCAGTGACAGTTATGCCTGATACTTGTACATTCAACTGTTGCTAAACGAACTATGCTAATTAGACCAAATCATGCTGTACAGTATCATTTTGCAAAAAAGTGTAACCTACAATTCATGAAGTCAGACAAACTTTCTCCTTAATTACATGTGATCTGGGGATTTAAATGATTTGTACCTTTGATAAATCATATCATGCAAATTATGTATACTTTATTAAAATGCAATAATGCATGAACAGCCTTTTTATGCAATGACCTGTTTATACTGCAGTGATTTCTTTATTTTGTGCATTTATTAAACTAACACAGCTGATCATCATGAAATAGATCTTGGTATAATATCACATTATATAAGTCATACATGAATATTATACATCTGTGTCATGAAATATTTTTGCTGCATCAATATGCTAGCTGCAGAACAGTTAATACCTCACAATCCATAATGGTATCAAATTGTTCAAGCACCAAAAACCAAAATCCAATTCATGATCCAAGATATGATCGAAGAACAATTTTGTTCCACAAAATTTATTAAGATTTCAGTATGATGCAAGAACTTGGTCAAACACATGGTGATGTCTCTATTGATTTCAGAGGAATTGTGTCATTTTCTCTTGTTTACTCGCCACTAGCTCCAATTTTTAGCAATCAATAATTATTGCTTGTAACCATTGCTTGGACTGTCCAACATCATACTACACTTACCATTTCCAATGCTCAAATGTAGTTAAAAAGTTATTTTTCAAACATGTGCCAAACTGTCTATTACCATGTTGTGAAGTGAATTAAGACATCTTGTATCAAATTATAATACAAGCTAAAATGAGCTAGAAATCATTATTAAGATGGTGACCATCTCAAAAGTGACACATTTTATAAATGTGCATTTAATTTAATAAGATATAAGGTAAAGAAAAGAATTTGCTACACATATTTTTTTGTAAAAAGTCCTTCCTATTATCTGTGATCATCAATTCTTTAATGTATTGAATAAATGCAAAGCCTAAAGTACCAGAACATAACCTTTAAACAATCACTCTTCCATGAATTTTTCACAAAATCTTTTTTAACCTTGACCTTTGACTTAGTTCAAATTGGCAAACTCTTGATTCAGATTACTCTATGAGAAGTGTTAGCCAAACACAAGAATTCAACGGCAGAAAAATATAAACTCCTTTGGTAAGATAACGTTACTTGGTGGTTCGGGTATTTTTCAAAATTCTCCTGTATTTTTTTTTTGGCCATTAAATTTCAGTTTTCCTATTTTAAATCTTAAACATATTTGAATAACCAAAAAATTAAATGTAATTGTTCTTGTTTTTAAATCTTTCAATCATTACATCCTTTTTCTAATTAGACTCCGTCAAATGTTACACAATGTTGACTAGTGTTCTTACCTCTCTTTACATCTGTTATCAGCTCATTGTTACATGTCTGATAAGGCATTACAACCATTTCACTTCCTACTTCAGTACAACTACCTGTCAGTACCTGATCATTGCTGATGTTAGTCAATTCACGTGCTACACTAGTATATTTTAGCTTCTCCGTTTACATTGTCGAGATTTAATTAAAATAATAAAAAGTATCATGATCAAAAGAATTTTCTTTACCTTTGCAAAGAAGTCTTATTAGAAGCATCTTAATTTTCAACAAACATTTCTGTCAAATTAATTAAAACTAAATAATCTACAGAAAATAACTAAAGTCTATTATTATCCACTGAGATAACACAGATAAAAAAATGTTAACAGGATTGCTATAGCTGTCATAAGCATCAGTCACCCTTTCATATTGTAAACCTTTCATATTGTAAAATTCAATACTAGAGCATTGTTAACATGGCTATGGTCAGAATTGGTTTTTACAAAAAGAAGAAAGTAAGCTGTGGGATTTCACACCAAGTTCCTTCTAGAATCAAATTACTCATCAGAGAAGCTGTTCTTTCAAAATTCTTTTTTTTAATAATAGAATTACATGCAGTGTATTTAAAACTAGTAAATTCAAACTATGCAATACAGTAATATGTTCAAGTATTACCATTACAGGTATTAACTTCATAAATCACTGAAATTTAAAAAAAGTGGTATCCTTGTGGTTCCATGTGGTAAAAAGACGCACTCCAAATAGAGCAATATAAGCTACATAAAATCACTGTGTGATTTGGGTGTGATAGCTAGCCGATGGTAACTGAACACATGTACAGGTACATATAATATGTATGACATTTCATATATTTCTGATACCACTCACCAGATCATGGTGGGACACAAGTTATCAAATTCTATGATTGATTGTTTAAAAATAAAACCTTTGTTACCGGTAAGTCATACATTCACCAATTTTATCATGTAAATTTTTTTAGTGATGATTCAATTTATTGTCTATGGATTTTTTTGCTGTTCAATTTAGAAATGTGCACACCACAGGTATGACCCATCAACAACTTACAAGGGATATATACTCCTTCATGGCACCTGATCTCATCTGGAGGTCAGTATTACTGTTTGTTATCTTCTTTTTCTCCTGTCAACGTTCAGTGCTCATATCACAGGAAGAGGAGGAAAATGTGAAATGACCAGATGGGGATTGAAACCCAGGCCCCTGAATAACCAGTCAGTTGCCCTACCGAGTTTTCTGGTCCTTGGCATTTGAACCCTCCTGACCACTACACTTGCAATATGAAATTGACTTAGCTGCAGGCTTGTACCTTGCTGGTCTGAAAAAACTGCCAGTTGGAAAACCAGAAAGCTACCATTGAAAAAATAAAAATACCAGGTATATTTATTGCTTACAAAAATGTGCGATGTTTCTCAATTCATTTCTCTATACAAGTTATCTTCAACAAATATTATAAACCATGTGTTCCTAACATATATTTTCACTTTTTCCATAATAAAACATTTGTCAAAATTGTTGTTTAAAGCCCTCCTGGGTCTAAAATTGAGACTTCCGAAAATTTTCCAAATATAATGTGAACGTATTACATTTGGCTGTGTATTCTATTTAGCACCTTTTGTGGAAAGCATCTTCGGCTTAATCAAGTACATTGCTAGTCTACTGTCTTATTTACATACATATTCATATAAAACACATTCAGAAAGCGCTAATTCAAATCAACACTAACTTGTTAAAAAATCAATTTCCGACAAATTTTGTACACACTAAATAAAATACATCAAAGCCCAACGGGGTTACTGTGATGTAACAATACAGATACATTTACAGTATATCACCATCTTGGGTGTCAAGGCAATACAATCCGAGGCACTTTGTATATGACTTATATGTATAGATTCGTTGTTGAAGACATAAAGGAATATGTAAGGAACACACAGTTAGTTATATTTTTAGTTATATGGAGAAATAAATCGAAAATCAGCGCACATTTTGTGCACAAATACACACTTTTTTCAATGGGTGGCTCTGTAGCTCTCTGATTGTCCAGACTCTAGTACTTTTTGTTGATTTGAACTAAAACTTCACCAACAGAGACAAGTGCTAATAACTTTTTTCGCGAAATTCTTTACTGAGTTTTCAAATGCGATAATGCTATGTCAAGAGCACATCATTATGTAAAAACTGCATCGGATGATTTACCTTATGTAGATATTAAATGAGCAAGATATTTACTGGATACAATAGGACAGAGAATATTCGCATCAGCCTTCATTTTCAGAACAGCATGCACAGGGAGACATAACATTCAACATGGACAATCTCGACAGTTCAAATGAGAAACTGGTTAAAACTTCGACATCTTTATTCTTTATTATTACTGATCTTATGTATTAATTGATTAAAATTAAAATGTGTTTACTTACTAATTCTCCTGTGACTGTGTATTTTGTTCTTGATGTAAACGTCATCGTATCTGAAATTTCATTGGTCGACTATTTCTCAGAAAGGGTAAACTGTTCAAGTTGTGAGTCGAGGAGACATTTCCAAAGAAAAAAAGTTCGCACGGCTAAGTAATTATTTTTTAAAGAGTTATTAAGAGTTTATTTAAGCATTTCTGATAAAAATAAAATCTTTTAAACTTTACTTCAGGTGTCATAACATTTGTTTCGAAACAGTATACGTATGTCTTATCCATTTCTGATATTTCTTTCAAAATGGCTGCGCCCATCATAACACAAATGTGAGAAATTGTAACATGGCTCAAAACTTGGTACAGTATATAGTCGTCCGGAAGGATCTGTTAAAATCCGGATGGCCGACAGGTGCCCTTATTACACAGGCTTGTCACGCCTGTGTTGCTGTCATACATCAGTTTTACGACAAGGAAGACACCAAGAAATACCTCAACGATATAGACCGAATGCATAAAGTAACATTAGAAGTAGGTCCCAAATGTCTTTTTTTTAATTTTATACAGTATTGCTGAAACTTTCAACCAGATAATGTGTAAACAAAATTCATACTTTACAAAATAAACGAGATGATTTTTCAGAACCCCCCCCCCCCAATTATTTGCCACAATTAATCAGGTTGGGACCAATCTCCCAAATGGGATATAATAGTCTGTTTGGGATATAATATCCCAAATGAGCTATAAATTTACAGTGCAAAAATTGAAAATTTTTATTTTGGCTATAAATATCATAAATCCGCATCAGGACACTTAAAAAGGAATAACTTTTGGTTGACAAGTTTTCCTGTATGCCCATTGTTTAGAAGATTGATCCCTCGGAAGTTCCTTAACTTCTTGGGGATCAATCTTCCAAACTTTAGGGTTGCAGAAAAACTTTCTTACCAAAAGTTATTCCTTTTTAAGTGTTTTGATGCGGATTTATGATATTGATTGCCAAAATAAAAATTTTCAATTTTTGCACTGTAAATTTATAGCCCATTTGGGATATTATATCCCAAACGGACTATTATTTCCCATTTGGGCGATTGGTCCCAACGTGTTAATGGTATGCTTTGAATCTAGAATTCATTTAAATGATTATAAATTTTCAGTTGCCTTTCTGACAAGTTTTATAGCATTAAAATTGAACTACACATAATATCTGATCATTAAATGTTTGCATGGCTATGGCTTTATCTCATCCTATTTTTTGCAGGCAACAGATGAAGAGAGTATTGTAAAGCTGTCAGAAACATTGGCCAGTAAAGGGATTGAGCATAAACTTTGGATAGAACAGCCAGAAAATACACCGACATGTGTAGCAACAAGACCTTACATAAAGGAAAACATTCAAGAACATTTTAAAAAGTTCAAATTATTCTAATCATGATACTAGTTTCTTATGAATTCTATTATAAACTTTACACCTATAATCCTGTGTAATAAATTGAGATTACACAGATTCATTTTTTTCTTGTTTATTGATATTTTAAAAGTCATTTCTTTAATCAATGTATTGTTGTCCAAATTGAAATCTAAATCAGATACTAAAAAGCACAATGATATGAATGTAATTTAGAAATTCTGACGTTTCTTTTTCTTTCTTTCTTTTTTTGTTTGGATTTGTGGAATATGCCAAAAACCAGAAGTGTCTGAAGAAAATGTAGCTCTATTGGATTTTTTATTTGATAAAAGTTGAGCAAAAAGTTGGAACTTTGTCAGACTTGAATCTATGGTAACAGCTTTTATTTCATAAAATACAATAAAACTTGTTTAGTCATGACAACAACATGACAACAATATTGCGAGTTTATGGATGTAGAGAAGTTATCTCGGATCCCCAGCTCTATAGATTTAACAAATTCCTTATACAGATTTTATGAATTACGGGCCCACAATAAGGAATCCAAGTTTTAAATTGAAATATGTAGGAAAAATATATGTAAATCTTCTTCTTATGGGCCAGAAACTGAAACTGAAGCTGAAACTTATGTGGATGCATTATGGGATAGAGTTGATTCTATATGTTAAAATCATGACCCCCAGGGTAGGACGGAGCCACAATGGGGAATCCAAGTTTTAAATTGAAATATATATATATATATATATATATATATATATATATATATATATATATATATATATATATAAAAATATATATATAATATCTTCTCTTCAAGACCCACTAGGCCAGAAAAGCTGCAACTTTTGTGGAAGCATCATGGGGTAGTGTAAATTCTACATTTTCAAAATTATACCCCTGGGGGTAGGGTGGGGCCACAATAGGTATTACAAAGGGGAAATCTGGTAAAGAACAGCATGGCCAATTACTCATGTGAGCGATGTGGCCCACTGGCCTCTTGTTTTTCGGTTATTCTTGAATAAATCAATTTTTAAGATATCCACTATTTTTGCCTTTTCTTGACTATATTTTCTATCAAAAGGACACATTCCTTCACTTGCAAAAATTTGATTCCCCTACACTCAGTCTGATGCTTCGAGGGAAATGTGGTTGAAACTTGTCAAGTGAAATTGTCTAAAAGTCCTGCCTCATGGGTGAAATAAATTCCATATCCAACAATAAAACAATTTTTCTGATTATTACATTTCTCTTTATGTTACTGTTGTAGACTGTAATGTCAAACTAAGCTGAGAGGTTGTGAGACATCTAAGTAAGTGATTAAAAGATGGGATAGAAGATTGTCCATAAATCTGAGTACACTATATTACGGATGTTAAAAAGTAGTATTCGACACCTCTGTGTGTGAATTATATTCACAAAAATGATACATTCATAAGGTTTAAAAAACTTTAAATTTATTGTGCATCAACAATAAAACTTTCATAACTTCATACTATAAAATTCAATCCCTCACCACAGTCAATACATGGCTATCTTCAAAATCAACTCATGTACATGTACATGTACATAAGCAAATATATATATAGGAAAATAATCCAAGCATTGTACATGCACCAGCAATTGAAGTATTTAGTGTTTTACCTTATTTGATAAGAATACTACTTTGGGGGAAAAATCCCAGTAAACATTAATTTTATCTTGAAAAAAATGATTTAGCATATAAACAAACAAAAAATAAACATGACAAAAGAGAAAATCAACAAATAAATTAAGCTACAAATGCATATATTACATTTTTAACTTGTGAAAATCAACAAATTGAAATATGCTGCTAAAAAATAAATTACACTATGAATATATTAATTTTAACTTGCACTGTCCTTTTCAGACTACAATGATAACTAAATACACTCAAAAAAGAGCAAATCTGGTTTCAAATCATACATGTGCTCTTATCTGAACTAATATACTTGTCATTCTGAGCAAAAAATGATCTATATGTACTCTTTGTGACCGTAGGTTTCTCTGAATTATTTTGGTTAAACCTGCATGTTAAACATGTATAAAACTATAATATTTACAGCTGTTTAATTTTTTCTCAATTTTTAGCTCAACTAAAATTCAAAATTATGAAAAATATTCTCAAAATAATTTGTACACATATGTGGTTTTATAATACCTTCAATATGAAGGATTTTTTTTTGTAAACTCATCTAAACCTTCAACTTTGTTTATGATACTGTTTATACATGTAATTTAGACCTTCAGTTTTGTTTTTAACCTTCAGAGTCATAAAGTGATGGTATTTTTCTTAGAAGTTCTCTAGACTTCTCTTGTTTGGTCCGATTCATGTCACTCTATGATACTGAGTGTTTTAAAATGCAAGACTGCTCCATTTTTATAATCTCTTAAATCTTCACTTTTTTCTTTGGAGTTTTAAATTGCTAAGTTTTATGCTACATGTTGGTCAGATGTCAATAGCAGGCATGTATAAAATGTAAGCTGTAAATTTCAAACTTCTGCATTACATACAGAATTATGAATTAGGATGGACAAAAAGATTAATGGACAATAATAAACAAGATGATACAGTTTTCTAATTTAAAAAAAGAAGATATTTTGGTTTTGATTTTGTAAACCATTGTGACTGAGGAGACTTTAATTGTAGTGTACATCATCTAACAGTGTAGCCACATAAATATAAAGACTCTAGTCTCAAGTTACAAGCACTTAAGGAATCTGTCAATGCCAAATCCCATTAAATAAGCATGCAAGAGCACTTCAACTATCTTCTGTCTTCATTTCGAGATTCCGACTGTTAAAAAGAATTAAAGTCCTACTCTGCAGTATATGAGTGGGACTATGAATACACTCTATGTACAGATAAATTAACTCAAATACATGTTCAGAAAATGTGATTCCTTAGGATCACAATTAAAATAATCCTTTTATCCTGATTTGTAGCCAATATAAAAAGACTTTATACTGATGATACATCAGAAAATTAACACATTACATAAATAATTACAGGTACATACATTTACATTAATTTGCAATTTTGTACACAATCCATATTTTAGTCAAGAAACTTTGTACAGCAATTCCTTTCTTTATGAAGAAGTCAATAACACTTCAAAAACATCAATATATTGTTTCGAATTCAAAGTACTTGCAACAAGTGGTTGTAATTTTAATTAGCACCAATAAAAACAAAGTCCCAGAAAACTACATTTACAAATTCTTAAAAATATCTTTGATAGATTGTTCATCTCTTATTTTATGGCTTAATTCCTCCCTGTGAATATTAACCTGTCTTGGATGTTTTATCTCCGCATTTTCTTTATCATCATCATGGTTTTCTGCATCATCGGAGCTTTCTGTCTTACAGCTGAAAATACACGTAAATGTAACAGGAAAAATGAAACTACTTCTTTCCATTAGATACAAGTTTTGACATACAAAGTTACAAACTAGTTCCCAAGTAGTATTTAAAAGAAACATATATGAAGTGATTTTGGCTTCTAATGTGTAATATAAGTTCCTAAATGTCATAAAACATTTTCTGGGGGCTCAGTGCCTTTAAATTGACTTGACTTAATCCCTAGTCCCTTGATGACCTTAAAGACCTACCATTAAAACAAGGCCAAAAAAAAAGAAGAATTAATACCCTTTTCCTCCTTTTCTTTCCTGCCAATAGCAATAGGGTCCATGAGATGTGCAAACTTTTTGGATCTTTCTCCAGATGATGGACCGGCAGTTCCGTACTTTAGTTGCTGTCTGCGAACCTCGCGCGGCGGTTTGACATAGCTATCTACATAGGCGAGTTTAGCTGTCCTCTCTACAAATTAGATTGAAAAAGATTCATATAAATTAATGATAATTCACTTGGTACTAAAACAATGTATACACAACACCCAATTTTAAATCAGTCATTTTTCAGTAGCCAATTGAATGTAATTTGATCTATTAAATATTTATTGTTAACCATTTTAAACTTGAGATGAACATACAAAAAAACTTGGCAAATATAACATGCACAGTGTTTTTCCTTTTATTAAAGTAAAAGTTTAAAGATCAATTGTTACAGGTTACGGGTTGATGTTTATGAACAAAATCTCTGTCCACCTTAAATTTCTAAGAGGCATTTTTTATCAATTGTAGCGGTCAATTTGGACATTAGCCAGTTCTTAGAGAAAACACTGCATACTGTGTATGATTCAGTGCTAAACCTGGTACTGTTAAATTCTTAAAATAAGGTCATTTTTACACATTATAAGATTAAATTGGGTTCTGAAAAAGTAAGCACATTTTCATACTTCCAGCAATTCTGCATTTGAAGTTACTGCTTTTGTTGATGAAAATCAAATTGAATGTAAGAAATTAAAAAAGAAAAAAAAAACCCACAATTTTCAATCAGAGCATGAAAACCTGTCCATTACAATCCTGATAAACACAACATATATACTAGTATGTATACTATTTACCTGGTGCTGCCTTAGCCATAGATTGTGATATGTTGTCCTTAATCATCTTAAACTTCCTCTCCTTCTCATCAAATTTCCTCTGAAAAGACATTTCCAAAAAATTTAACTTGCAATTCAGATCAATGACTACCATACAATCTATACAAATAAAAACTGATAACTGGCAAGTTTAGTAATCTGATCATTTTATGATGTGATAAAAAACCCTGAACAGTAAAGAAACTGTCGACTCATAAGTAAATACTAGACAAGATATCAGACCCTTCTCCAACAATCTTTTCACATTTTAACTGACATTATTTGGATCAGGTCCTGTATCCCTGGAATTTAAAGCTTAAAAGATGGCAAAATGGGGAAATATTGATATCATATGTTTCTGTAAAATAAAATTGTAATCATACCCTCTCATTTATAATAATCTGAAACTTCAAGATTTCTGACTAAAAGCACTGAAAATTTTTGTGTGTACCCCTGCTCAACTTTGTCATTCATAATAAGATATCTAAAAAAAATGCTCTCACTACTGAGAACCATTAAGAGCAACAGGCAGTCTATTTTACAGAGCTTTAAGTCATAGTTATATCAGTGATCAGTGTTTCAGGATTTAATGTACCAGGTATAGTTCCCGGTACGTCTCAAACTCGTCAGGCTTGGAGTCACGGAATTCTCGCTCACAGTGTAGCTTCCACAGATCATCACTCTCCTCCAAGAAATGCTGAAAAGACAAAGAACACTCACAGTTCTGCTGTAATGTCTACAATGGTGTAGAAATAAATATAATTTAAATGCCGAGTTCTACCAGAATTTTATTCTGAATTTCAGAGTATACTTTACACAGGGTACAAGTAATTTGGCCCTGTTTCCACTGGTATATTATTTCACTCTTTTTTAAATTCACCCAATTGCAGTTGTATTTTTTAAATAAATACAGGTATACTGTTTAATTCGTCATGTTTTGAATTCACCTGCTGAACATATGGCAAGAGAATGACAATAAAGCATTTTTTTCAGTATATAGATTATAGTAACCAGAACTAAATTACTCACAGGGTTGAAGTCTTCTATCCTATACAGCTGGGCTGGGGTACATTTTTTAAGCACTGGTTCAAGTATGTAGAATGGCACAGAACTTCCAACAGCTTCAATACCTGGGAAAAAAATACTTACGTGATATTGTTTATTAATCAGATTAAATTAATACTTTAGGGTTTATTCTAAGTCCATACATATAAGAAGTAACCCCACAACTAAGTTCATGAATCAGCAATACATAAGTTTCAAAATGCTTAAAATGAATCCACATATTGTACTTTAATCTGAAAACATGGTGGTTTTCATAATAAATATTTTTGTTCAAGGTGACAGTTTTATTTGCATCCATTCAATAAAGTTGAATAAACTTGTTAAAACCTTCACTTTGAGATAAAAAAAATTACAGGTATGTAAACTCAGAAATTTCTCTTTTTTCTTCAAACTTGACAAGTTTTACAACACTTACTATCGATGTAGTTCATAAGAAGATTAATGCAGATTTCCTGAAGTGAGTAAACCTTCGGGACAGCATTATTCCTCTTTCCTGAGTACACCTGGGTCTTGGCGTAACTTTTCTGTCCAATCAGAGAGTCGTCAAACTGAGCAGTCGCGGACGGAACCTCCTCAAAGTTGCGGTAAGTGGCTGTGACATTATTACGAACGAGGCCAGCAAGGTCTCTTTCAGAAAGCTTCAGCTAAAATATTGTAACGATTTTGACTGTGTATATATTTGAAATGTGTGTTTATCTACATTGAAATATGTTGTGGTTTTAATTTATTCCGACCGGAAGATTCATTCATTATTATTGTATGTTTATATTACATTTAAACATGTTGTACATCATTGTTTTACCTTATTTATAAGTCATTCTGTCATTTCACATGTTTACTTTCATTTTCCATTACTTCCGGTCGCGGGAAATTATGTACAAGTCTTACCTAGAATGTGTCGCGATTTCGCGGTTTATAACGTCACGTTGGGTCGTGCGACGTCACTTTGTGTTAACGTTTAGTTTTAGAAGAGTTGGGATTTTCAGATGTTAGTAGACGGACGTAAAAATATTTTAAGAGTTATTTTGAAGTGTCAGCCCTTGTGGATTTATATTACCTATTTTGTGGTCGCTACCAGACTATTTGTGAAATGTCCAGGTAATTTAATTGGAATTTGTGATAATTTATTTAATTGTATTTAGGAAATTTCGTATTAGAAATTTACTTTAACTTTATCTGAAATTTGGGGAATTATTTGAATCTAGCAAGTGACGTTGTACGCGTGTGACCATATTTTTGAAATATAAATTGTTGTTAATTTATTGACTATCATTATTAAAGTTTGGAATAACAGAATATAATTTTTGAAAACTTTATTATCTTTGAGTTTATTTCTTTAGTAAAAGACCGCTACCAGGTTTATTCATAATTTCGCTACCAGAAATTATAAGACCAGATATTAGCCGCGACCAGGCATATACATTACAAATACCAATTTTCTAATAAAATAATTATTTTATCCTATCTTACGAACTCGTAACGGCGAAAACGTTACATTTTGGTGGCAGCGGTGGGATAGGATAAAATTAATTTGTGCAGGAAAATTTGTTATTCTTAATTTACACTTGCTAGATTCTCCCCAGTGAAATAAAATGGCAGAATCCCGTGATAGTAATGTAAACCCCAATGACCAGGGTGGGGGTGAACCAAGCCCTGATATGGAAACTAAAGTGAATTCTATGCAGTCCCAGATTTGTGATATCTCTACTGTGTTACAGAAACTTACAGAGACTTTAGATCGTTTGGTTGACAAAGACCATAACATGACAGACTGTAGAAGTGAGTACAGTGATTACAGAACGATTGACAGAGTGAGTGAGCCTGATGACCATAGACATACTCTGCCCAGTGACGCAAACCAGTCACGTTTTCGTTCATTCGATACGCGAACACAGGTACACCCTCATAATGTTTTAGATAGACCATCGGATTTTAATCCGTTCAGACCAAATTATGAAAATCAAAACCAGACTCGACAGACTGTCAGAGCAAAACCCGACACTTATGACGGCAGATCTAGTTGGACAGATTTTATCACTCAGTTTGAAATTGTATGTCGGTTAAATAACTGGTCCAGTGAGATTAAGGCCCTACAGTTAGCAGCTTGTTTGAGAGGCTCAGCCAGAAGTGTTCTGACTGATCTTAGACCCCATCAGCTTGAAGATTATTATGAGTTAAAATTTGTTCTCCAAACTCGCTTCGAACCAAAGAATCAAACTGAAATGTACCGCGCAGAAATGAATAGCCGGTATCGGAAAAGAGACGAAAGCCTCCCTGAATTAGCCCAAGATATAAAACGATTAGCCAGACTTGCTTATCCCACAGCCCCGGGTGAAGTTAGGGATACTTTGGCATATAAATGTTTCCGCGATGCCTTACATGACCAAGATATGGAATGGGCAATTTGTCAGAGCGCGTCCGAAAATATTGACGAAGCGTTAAACCTCGCGTTGAAATTTGAGGCTTTCAAAATAAGCAGAAATCGGAAGTACACAAATTCTCCACATTTGCGTTACCAGCAAGAGATTTGTGACCAAAGCTATAAAGACCTGTATGTAATTGGTGAAAATTCCCAGACCAATGTCTCGCGATCAGACCTCTCAAATAACAGAAATGAGACAAAGAAATGTTTCTATTGTGGGAAACCGGGTCATTTTAAAAATAAGTGTAGAAAACGCCAGTATGATCTACAATCGGGAAAATTAAACATTTCCTCCCAAAGAATGAACGACAAACCAAACTTTGCGGAGAGGTCCGAAACCTCTGAGATTATGCGTGCACGTGATTGCGCTAACGGTCCTTTAAACGACCAGAGGCTGAGCCTGTAGGTCAAGTCTCAGCCTGTGATGCTAAAACCCAAACTTGTGAACCGAATGACAATGATAGACCTAAAGAGCAAATATTTGAAATCAAAGAGGCCCGCAGTGATAGTTTATTTGTTGTTGCAAAATTGAATGATAGAAAAATAAATTGTTTGATTGATACTGGAGCCTCAGTTTCTGTGTTACATAGACGGATTTTTGATGAAATTTCGGGGAATGTGAAACCGAGTTTGAATAGAAATTGTGGGAAATTGAAAGTGGCTGATGGTGAAATGATTACCCCGGCGGGAGCCGCCCAGATGACTTTTGTTATTGATGGTAAACCCTATAGCTATAGGATGTTAGTAGCCGATATTGAGGTACCCGCGGTACTAGGATATGATTTCCTGAGGGACAATAATTGTGAAATGAAACTTGGTGAGGGTACGCTCAAGTTAAATGGTGAATCGGTTAATTGTAAACTTCACAGCCAAATTCAGACCCTATTCAAACTGTCGTTGACTGAAAATGTAGTGATACCTCCGTCAAGCGAAATGATAATTCCAACGAGAATTTTGGGTGATCAGCCATTCGGCAAAACGGCTGTTGTTACGGATATAAGTCCATCTGTGTCCAAGAAAGGAATTCTAGTCGGGAAAAGTGTTTTTGACCCAAATAAATCTGAAATACCTGTGCGTGTTGTCAATGTTTCTGATACTCCACAAACCATTTACAAAAATACGGTTGCGTCAGAGTGTGAGGTGGTTCTTGAGAGTGATGTAGTATCATTTCAAAATCAATCTTGTGATAAAATGAATGCGCATACTTTAAATAACCTTGACCTTTTAAAGGTACCAGAGGACAACGTGTCTGTTCCTGACCATATCAAAGTTGTTCTTGACTCATGTAGAGACAATTTAAGCGATGTAGAATTGAAGAAAGTGTGCAATCTTCTGCGTAACTATTCAAGTGTGTTTGCAACCTCTAAAGACGATTTAGGAGAAACAGATTGTGTTTTACATAAAATAAATACGGGTCAAGCTCGTCCCATAAAACAAGCCCCTAGACGTATACCCATAAACCAAAAAGAGGAAGTTTCGACGGAATTGAAACGAATGTTAGATGTTGGTGTTATTAAGCCCTCAAAATCTCCTTGGGCTTCCCCTATTGTCATTGTGCGCAAATCAGACGGCTCCATACGATTCTGTGTCGATTACCGTAAAGTCAATGAAGTCACAATAAAAGACTCTTATCCTCTGCCCAGAATCAATGACTCCCTAGATGTTTTACGCGGATCTTCGTGGTTTTCTGTACTTGATTTACAGTCAGGTTTCTGGCAGGTAAAAATGGATCCGTTGGACCAAGAGAAAACAGCTTTCGTAACAAATAGCGGACTATACGAGTTTACCAAAATGCCCTTCGGTCTTTGTAATAGTCCCGCGACTTTTGAGCGACTCATGGAGAGCGTCCTAGCTGGATTACAGTGGGAGACTTGTCTTGTTTACATCGATGATATCATCATCTTTTCTGATTCCTTTGAGACCCATTTAGATCGTCTTGGTGATGTTTTGAAACGTATAAGTCATGCTGGACTTAAGATATCTCCAAAGAAATGCAATTTGTTTCAAAGAAAGGTCAAATTTCTAGGACATATAGTGTCTGAACATGGCATCGAACCATGTCCCAGTAAAATTGAAGCAGTCAAGAACTGGCCCATACCCTCTAATGTGAAAGACCTAAGAAGCTTTCTTGGAACCATTTCATACTATCGCCGTTTTATCAAAGGATTTGCTGACATTGCGAAGGTTTTGCATAAATTGACCGAGAAAACAGCCCTGTTCAGATGGACCAAAGAATGTGATATTGCTTTTCAGCGTCTTAAATCTGCTTTAATGACAAAACCTATAATGTCCTACCCAGATATGTCCAAGTCATTTATATTAGATACTGATGCTAGTGGTACAGCTATCGGCGCTGTTTTGTCCCAGGTTCATGAAGACGGAGAACATGTTGTTGCATATTATAGCAGGTGCCTGTCCAAGCATGAGCGACAGTATTGTATTACCAGGAAAGAGCTCTTAGCTGTTGTTGAAGCGATTAAGCACTTTCATTACTATTTATTTGGAACAAAATTTCTTGTCAGGACAGACCATGGTGCTCTTAGCTGGTTACGACGTTTTAAAAATCCTGAGGGTCAGCTAGCTAGGTGGATCCAAGTTCTCGATACATACAACTTTGATATTCGGCATCGTCCTGGAAAACAACATTCTAATGCTGATGGTTTGTCTCGTCGACCATGCATTTCTTGTAAATTTTGCGAGAAACAAGAAGACAAAATCACTCATTCCAGTGAAGCTGTTGTTCATGTGTCAACCCAAACTTCCTGTCTGAACTTCGAATCAGTCGATGATCAGCATCAAGTCAATGCCATGTCTACAGTGGAAGCCAGTTTAGTTTCAGGGGAGTCTGACGATAACCTTTCTTGGTTCCAGTCCAAGTCCAATGATGAACTCTCACAAGCCCAGAGACAAGATCCTGTTTTGAAACATCTCTTCTCCCTGAAAGAAAAATACAAAGATGAGCCCCCTAAATGGCATGAAGTTTCTCACCTATCCCCAGCCCTTAAATCATATTGGTCACAGTGGAAAAGAATTGAAATTGTTAATGGTGTTTTATACAGAAGATGGGTGGATGTTGATAAAAATTCTGAAAGACTGCAACTGTTGGTACCAAAATGTTGGCAGAGTGAAATTTTAACTTTATTACATGACTCTTTACTTTCAGGTCATTTAGGCATAACCAAGACCATACACAAAATTTGGGAAAGATTCTATTGGTCCGATTATATGTCCCACACTAGAAGATGGATTGAGAAGTGCGCTGTGTGCCAAAAGCGTAAAACCCCTTCAAAACCAATTAGAGGAGCTATGGCCCAATACAATGTTGGTGCACCCCTAGAGAGAGTAGCTCTTGATATAATGGGCCCGTTGCCACAGACCCAAAAAGGACATAAATATATATTAGTCATTACTGATTATTTCACGAAATGGGCAGAAGCCTACCCTATGATAGATCAGGAAGCAAGTACTATTGCCGATTTCTTGATTGATTTCATTTGTCATTATGGTTTGCCTTTACAAATTCATTCCGACCAAGGGAGACAATTCCAGTCTAATCTTTTTAAAGAACTCTGTAAAACCCTTGGGATTGATCAAACAAGAACCTCTCCTTACCACCCTCAAAGTGATGGACTTGTAGAGAGAATAAACAGGACAATTATCGATATGCTTAGTAAAACCATTAACAAAAGTCAAAGAGATTGGGACAGAAAATTACCATTTGTGATGCTAGCATACAGGTCCTCTATTCAAGAGAGCACTAAGGAATCTCCGTGTTTTATGATGTCCGGTCGTGAACCCCTTTTACCGGTTGATTTGTTGTATGGAAAATCCCCAGACCGCAAAATAGTGTCCGATTATGTACAAGACCTTGTAACAAAATTGTGGAATGTGCATGAATGTGCTCGTGAAAATATTTTGAAAGCTAGTGACAGACAAAAGAAATATTATGACCTTAAGACCAATGACCAAACTTTTACCCTAGGGGATGGTGTTTTGTTATTTAACCCAGCGAAAATTAAGGGGAAATCACCAAAACTTATGTGTAAATGGGAGGGACCCTACACTATAGTTAGAAAAGTGTCAGATTTGATTTATGAAATTAAGACTTCTTCAAATTCCAAGTCAAAAGTTGTACATGTCAATAGATTGAAACCATATTTTGGGAGAATGAGAAAGTGGTTTGTACCGCCGAGTGATAGAAACACCCGTGCCCAGGGGACCCAAAATGCCCAATAATATATCAGACCAAAGATTGAAATGTTTATACATGTAAATTTGTGTTAATGAACTTTTGTATTTAATCAATTTTTATTTATTATTAGTGTTAATAGATATCTGGGATACCTTGCTGCTCCCTCTGAGGAACCTTTGCATCAATGTGATGACTGTGGACGGAGGTTCTTTTCCAAACACAAACTGTCTCGTCACCAGAGGAATGCCCATGGTGACAGAGTCTTCTGCTCCTTCTGTTATTATTCAGTGCCCCAAACCAGGAAATATCTACTTAAGAAACATGAGGAAAATGTACACCGTAGTAAAGATGGGAAGCCTGTCGTTGAAAATAAAAGACCAACAACCAAGATGCACTTACCAGAAACATCTGTGAAACCGCCCTCACCTGTTTATTCTGATGTTTCTTCTGTGGAGTCGCTACATCAGGAGGACCCTTTGGATCTACTCGACTTGGATTTTCCGGGGCTGTCTTTTCCTGAACTATTGTCATTTCAGGATCCCAAGACCTTTGTTCCTGAACCTGTCCATGAGTCTTTGAACACTCCTGATTGTGCTCCTGTGGAACCCGCATCCCCCGTTCCTGCAGTCACCACGCTAGAAGAGCCACTGGACCTCAGCCTACCATCTGCTGCCAGGAACAGTACCTGCTCTGACGGACCTGTAGGACTTTCCACATCTGCTGAGTTTTCCTTTTCGCCAGACAGTCCATTCTTCTACTTCAAGAACCAGTGCTTCATTGCCAAGATCACTGTTAATGCAGCTACACAGACGGACTTTTCGTGAAAAAGGATCTACATGTTTTATTTATTATACATTGTATGTATGTGTTATTGAACTCTTGTTGAACAGTTGGTAAGTTGGGTTCATGGTAACACAAATTATTCATATTTGTAAATGTTATGAAGATTGTATTTATGGATGAATTTATTAAATGTGTAAAATCATTTTTTTTATCCCCAAGATTCGAGGACGAATCTTTTGTAGTGAGGGGGTGATGTAACGATTTTGACTGTGTATATATTTGAAATGTGTGTTTATCTACATTGAAATATGTTGTGGTTTTAATTTATTCCGACCGGAAGATTCATTCATTATTATTGTATGTTTATATTACATTTAAACATGTTGTACATCATTGTTTTACCTTATTTATAAGTCATTCTGTCATTTCACATGTTTACTTTCGTTTTCCATTACTTCCGGTCGCGGGAAATTATGTACAAGTCTTACCTAGAATGTGTCGCGATTTCGCGGTTTATAACGTCACGTTAGGTCGTGCGACGTCACTTTGTGTTAACGTTTAGTTTTAGAAGTGAGTTGGGATTTTCAGATGTTAGTGGACGGACGTAAAAATATTTTAAGAGTTATTTTGAAGTGTCAGCCCTTGTGGATTTATATTACCTATTTTGTGGTCGCTACCAGACTATTTGTGAAATGTCCAGGTAATTTAATTGGAATTTGTGATAATTTATTTAATTGTATTTAGGAAATTTCGTATTAGAAATTTACTTTAACTTTATCTGAAATTTGGGGAATTATTTGAATCTAGCAAGTGACGTTGTACGCGTGTGACCATATTTTTGAAATATAAATTGTTTGTTAATTTATTGACTATCATTATTAAATTTTGGAATAACAGAATATAATTTTTGAAAACTTTATTATCTTTGAGTTTATTTCTTTAGTAAAAGACCGCTACCAGGTTTATTCATAATTTCGCTACCAGAAATTATAAGACCAGATATTAGCCGCGACCAGGCATATACATTACAAATACCAATTTTCTAATAAAATAATTATTTTATCCTATCTTACGAACTCGTAACGGCGAAAACGTTACAATATTAAATGGTTCCATGAAAAGTCTTCATTTATAAATATTAAAGACAATTGGCATGGAAAATAAAAGACTGATATAGCATTTTTAACCTGGAAAGCTGATAACAGATTATAAGTATATCTTTAACTCAGTGTTCTGACCTTTGACCCTGGAACAGGAACCTTTAGTTTCTTATTGCTCTCGGCCTCTGATGTATCACACACTAACTTCTCATTTCTGGGTTTTGGTTCTTTGGGTACTTCTCCTTTCTTTTTTATCTTAAACTTGGATTTAAGTTTTTCATAATTTGGATCAGCTTTGGGTTTTTTGACAGGGATAGCGATGCTTTCCTCAAAAGAAGCAACATCTGTGCTATTGGAGCGGGACTTTTTGGATTCTGGTTTTCCATCCTGGTCATGCTTACGTTTTCTGTTTTCTCTATCATGCTTGTGACTGCTAGATTTTGAACTCGAGTTTGACTTTGATTTATGTGATGAGTGGGAATCATCTTTCTTATTCTTTTCCTTCCTCTCTTTTTCATCAGAATCCTTCCTCTTCTTATTAGGATCTGAATGCTTCTCTTTCTTTGGATGATCTTTTCCCACTTCCCTTTCTGATCTTTCCTGGGACTTTTTGTCTGAGCTGCTAGAAGGAGGTAATGATGGAGGCCCCATGTGATATTTATTGAGGGCCTCATTTAGTAGGGCTTCATGGTCCACGTATTCATCATTAAAAAAGAACCCCCCTGGTTCCTCCTCCATCTCCGCATCCGAGCTCAGCCCGTCCCAATGACCCAACACTTTACTTTGATTCCTATCCTCCTTATCTTCCTCTGAATTCTCACTCTCACTCTCAGACAAGGTATGCTTTGACCTTTTGATGCCTGTAAAGCCTTTATCACTAGATTTACTACTGGAATGTTTTGTATTACTTATAACTTTATCACAGTTATCTGAAGATTTCTTGTCATTGTGGTTTTTAGTTTTTGAGCTACTACTACTAGAATGCTTGGCATGACTTTCTGAGTGACCACTGTGTGAATGCCTGCTGTGACTCCTGTCCTTACCTCCAGACTCACTATTGGAATGCCTACTCCCAGACTTTCTACTTTCACTTTTATGGCTTGAAGAATGTTTATGATCAGAGTGTTTAATACTGTCTTTACTAGATCTGCTGCTTTCAGAGTGCTTAGTCACGGAGTGTTGACTTTCCTTTTTACTACTAGGTTGACTCTCTTTCATCTTGGAATGAGATCTATGACTCTTGTGATTTTCCACACTCTTGTCACTTTTTATATTAGAGTGTTCAGTATGAGATTTTGAGCTCCTCTCACTCTTTGATTGTTTATGATCATTGCTAGAAGACTTTTTGCCATCTCCAGATGATGAACTTTTTCTATTTTCCTCGTTCTTCTTTTCCTCCTTTCTGACTTTTTCTCGGTTTGATGAATGTCGACTATCTTTAGAACTATGCCTGTTTTCTGACTCTTGGTGTTTTTCTTCTTTAGCCTTGCTGTGTGAGGAGGGTTGATGGGATGAATGTCTATCTGTTCTGTGTTTTTTGATGTCTTTGCTTCGACTTTTCTCCTGAGGTGATCTTACCTCTTCCTTTATTGGGCTATCATCCCTCTCTATGTGATTGTGCTCCGGGCTTTCTCCATTATTTTCCACCTCAGGACTGGAGTGAGACTTTTCGGTGTGATCATTTTTTTCCTCCTCTTCTTCCTGGGACTGTACACGAGCCACCATGGCCTTCCATTCTGTCACAATGTCCTTAGCAAGAATCCCCAAGTCCCCACCTTTTTTTCTGAGTCCATTAACAACTTTTCCAATTTTTGTTTTCTGTTCAACATTGATAAAAGAAATTTGTTTTCATTTCAGCATCTTAAAATGAAGATTTTAGATTTTAATCCTTATTCAAATATAGGTACATGCATGTACTATTTAAAAGCAAATTCAGAGAAATAAAATTGTTAAGTAATATAAAACCTTGAATGAAATCTCAAAATATATACATCTAATAAAGACATTGTTTGGTGCTACAAACCTGCAGGATATCCACTGTGATAGGAATGTCTGCTATCTTAAACAGTGTTTCTTGTAACTGTAAGTAGAACAATATTGTCATAAAGGTATCAGACAAATAAGTCACAAAGAATGTCTTCAGCATGACCCAGTCAATAGGAAGCCATTAATCCTTCATTTCTAATCATTTGATTTTCAATAGCATTTTTTGGTATGGCTTGATTACTTGTGAATTTTTAAAAACTATACATTTTTCTTGATCTGAACTCAACTTTACTAGACCTGACCTAATATCAGAATATGCAAATAATTATCACCAGTACTAAAATATTAATTTGAATAAAAAAGTTGCCAAATACTGACATAGTGAATATAGTTAATTAGTCAGTTTATGAAGTGCAAAAAAATATCTGTAGTCCTTATTTTGCTATGCAGTGAAATCTTGGATGTAAAGTCTCAACTTTTATATCTTTACATCTTTGACAACTGGATATTTCCAATAGTCTTGCTTGTGTTTAGATACCATTGTCTATCTGTACATATTCAGATATTGTCAGGTATGAGCACAAGGAACAATTTTCATTTCAGGCCATTATAAAAATACCTAAAAGTTAACATAAATTAACCTAACAAAGGGTATCCAACTCTTCCTTTTATATCTACATAAAAGCTCAATAGAATGATGTGTAAGAACAGAGGAAATTCCGAATAAAATCTGTACATATGTCAGGCAAATTCTCCTGTGCAACATTCCCAGAATTCCTTCACTACCAGGGTTCCATGCGAAATTATTACAAAACATACAAAAGAACAAAAATGATTGTTCTTTACCTCAATATGTTAATACTTTTCTTTATTTGCAGAGAGATTAAATGAAACAAAAAATATTTTCATGTACTCTACAAAGTTGCAATATTGCACAAGACCTGTAGACTTGTTCAACCACTCGACTGTCTCCGTAAATTTCAACGTCATGTGACGTCACAGGCTAGACTGTGTCTCAGCGGTTTGACGTTTGAAAAGGCAGATCAACGATACAACTGTAAGCTGTGTATAGGACTGCACTTGCCCAAACAGACACACCTTAAAAAACATATTCTTCTTACACTAATTTCCAGTGCCTGAGATCTAACCAATGAAGTCAACCATATATAGCTTATCATTACAGACAGATCTTGTCCAAATACTATTTCTACCTACGTAGCTTTTAATAGCTACAGCTCACTAGTAGAATTTATGCTTTCTAATTGCTTTTCATTCTTTTCACTGTATTGATAAATACGCCGACTCCCATGATCTAGCCAAGTAAAGCTATAGAAAAGTCAAAGTGCACAGTAAACGAAACCAACAGGTCATCAGTTAATTCCAGGCCTACCTTCTCTTCATCTGTGCTGTTTTGTAATCGGGACTTGTATCGAAGAACTTTACTCTCGACATCATCTGCCATCTCTGAAAAACCACCAGCTGTCACTCGTTCACCGTTCACGACACTTGCATTCTGTACCCGACCTAAAAAAAATTACCGGAAATAAGCAAACTAAGCATAATAGTCAAAATCGAAAGGATAACATTTTCCGGAAAATTGCAAAATGATCATGTTAAATCAAGCGAAATATGGTTTCTGGTTCATTTTAGTGTATTTCGTGGATTTTGGGTTCAATTCACTTCGAGATAACGCAATCGTCTCGCGTAAAAAAGCGAAAAATAGGCCTATTTATTTTGTAATTTCATCAACTTTTTCAGCACTTTTCAATATTCTTGCTAAAATTTTACACAATGGATACTGAAATAGAAAATTCTTCAATATACTCTCAAGAAAGCATCAGAACTGCAAGATCCATAACCATTTTGGTTCAAATATTTGTTTAATGAACTTTAAGTGGTTGCTAAGCAACAACGTTTTCAATTTTTTGGCTGTATACATTGTATGTTTGTTATTGTTCCTTCCTGACACTTTTTTGTACATTCCATGATATTGTAAGTAAGATATTGGCCAAAATAATGTAAAGAACATTATTGAATTAAGTTTTGACCTTGACACTTCTGTTCTTAGGGGGGTCAAGGTCATATCAGTACAGAATTCTGTTTTAAATTGCAAGTACATAACAATTATGAAATGCTGCATCATTATGGATAAATCATCTAATAGTTAACGTAAAAAATGGTGAACAACAAAATTTGCAAGCAAAGGAGTCTGGCCCCAGGATCATGAAACATCTTAAGCTTAAGTCAAAATATTTATGTTGTACTAGAATTTTGATTAATCATTAAGTCAAGTAGACAAAAATTAAAATATTTTTTTTAATATTGCTTTTCAAAGGTGTTGTTATCTGCAAAATTAGAGATTCGTTCAATAATTAATAACTTAGCCTATTATGCTGTCGAGATTGTTTACGCCACCTGAACTTGAATCAGAGCTTGCATCACTCAGAAATAAAGAGCATTTATACAAAGTGTTTATTTGTTAGGAAGTTTGCAAGTCTTTATCTGCAATATAGGTTCTAGATCACATTATGTGCACATAATCTTCATGTTAAATGATATGCCATCACTATGAACAGAAACATTTGACTTGGTCTTTAAAGGCAATAATAAATTGACAATGCATGTAATTAAAAAAAAAATGTCAAAAATTTGAAGAACAATTTGCAAGCATGGTTTCTTGTGTTCTAATTTCAAATAAAAAATCACAATCATAATATCAAGTAAATTAAAAAAAACAGTACTTTCCATAACTGCAACCTTGTTCCAATTTATCATGCATATTTACTAGCAAATTAAAGTGACAGTCCCACAGGTTCTGTACATTTCCTGAAAGATGTGGCTAATACAGGTTTTAAATTTTTTCTTCACTCAAAAAAAAAAAAAAAAATACAAACAAGAGGCCCATGGGCCACATCGCTCACCTGAGCACCAAGGGTAGGACTAGTATAAAATGGCTTTTTATTGTAAAGTTTAAATCCAAAAGTAGTCCCACGCCCAATCATGGATTTGCTATTTTTTAGAAAATGATTGAGAAGAAGATTTTTAAAGAATTTTCCTATATATTTCTATGTAAAACTTTGGTCGGCCATTTTGGCCCCGCTCTACCCCCCGGGGGTCATAATTTGAACAAAATTGAATCTACACTACCTGAACATGCTTCCATATAAATATGATGAATAATGGCTTTGTCATTCTTGAGAAGAAGATTTTTAAAGAATTTTCCTATATATTTCTATGTAAAACACTGGTCGGCCATTTTGGCCCCGCCCTACCCCCGGGGGTCATGATTTGAACAAATTTGAATCTACACTTCCTGAGCATGCTTCCATATAAATATGATGAATTATGGCTTTGTCATTCTTGAGAAGAAGATTTTTAAAGAATTTTCCTATATATTTCTATGTAAAACTTTGGTCGGCCATTTTGGCCCCGCCCTACCCCCAGGGGTCATGATTTGAACAAACTTGAATCTACACTACCTGAGCATGTTTCCATATAAATATGATGAATTATGGCTTTGTCATTCTTGAGAAGAAGATTTATAAAGAATTTTCCTATATATTTCTATGTAAAACTTTGGTCGGCCATTTTGGCCCCGCTCTACCCCCGGGGGTCATGATTTGAACAAACTTGAATCTACACTACCTGAGCATGTTTCCCCATAAGTTTCATCTTTCCTGGGACAGTGGTTCTTGAGAAGAAGATTTTAAAAATATACCACCAAATTTTCACTTTTTCTGAATTATTTCCCCTTGAATAAGGGCGTGGCCCTTCATTTGAACAAACTTGAATTCCCTTCACCCAAGGATACTTTGTGGCAAGTTTGGTTGAAATTGGCCCAGCGGTTCTTGAGAAGAAGTCGAAAATGTGAAAAGTTTACAGACAGACAGACGGACAGACAGACGGACAGACGGACGCCGGACAAAATGTGATCAGAAAAGCTCACTTGAGCCTTCGGCTCAGGTGAGCTAAAAAGTCTGTCTGAAAATACATAGCAGTAAACTACAACTTGTACACAATCTTTTTATTACTTACAAAAAACAAATACATTTTCTTGATGCCATTAAAAGAACCTTTTCTTTCATAGATTTCATCTAACAAGAAAAAATAAACTAACTGATTTCATTACAAGATTTTTTCTTTTGACAGAGTTTAAGGGGTACAATAAAGACTTGACTTGTCATCTTGGAGGGGAAAAACAATAATGGATGGCAATAGCAATATTTACTGTTTACTGTTTTAAAAGTCAATAAGTTGAAAATCTGATGGGTTTTTTTTCCTCACGAATATACATATCCAGAAATATTGCAAGCTGAATTCCATATCAAACTGATTTAATCTTCCACAAAATGTTGAAGACCAGGGGCTCGTTTCACAAAGCCTACTTAGGACTAAGTTCTATCTTAGGAAAGAACTTTTTCCTAAGTTCATTACTTATCCGTTTCACTAACCTCGTCTTATCTTAGGATATTCCTAAGTTATGTCGTAACTTTAGGACAGGTTAATCGATGACTTAGGAAGAAACTTAATATTACGGCTGCATATCCAAGATTTCTTATGGAGAGAAAGAATGTGTTTGGGGAGAGAAATTCCAATGGACGACTAGTATATGGATGGTTGTGTTCTCTCCATGTTAAAACTGCAACTTAGCTTAGAATTACTCAGATTTCAATAACTGGCAAACGTGTGTCAAAATTAGTCCAAGGTATATAAAAATGTCTGTTCACAAAACTGAAGCTGGCGAAATAGATGTACACATGCTGGAATAATTCCCCATTATTTGAAGAGCTCGCCTTTGTAAACAAAAAAAAAAAATAGCATACGATTTGATCCATTATTAGACATGCATGTATACAGTATTATTATGTTTTTATCTACATGTACATGTATATTTATTTATATTACTAATATTTTAATCGATATTTAATTCGAATTTTTAAAAATGATAATTTAGATAAATGGAAACACTTGTTCATGCACTTTCTATAAATGCAGGATTCTTGATGAATCCCCAACAAAGCTCCGGATAATATAGATGTTACTCTCAAGAATAGTTGCATCTTATCTCCTCTATGAAGTATTTATTGAGGGGACACAAGCATAACGCAGTTTTGTTAACTATTGTATTCTATACATCGGTAAAATTAACCCCCCTCCTGTGCTCCTCCAGTTCCTACAGCCATGAAATTACAACCAGTTTTCCCCTCCGCTTAATACAATATATAGCTATATATATGTATGAGGTTTCAATAGATTTCCCTTTTTTTACTTCTTTTAGTATTTTCGTATCTGTAGTCGCGAATTTGGATTTTTTTTCTGGCATGCATTCTGATTTTATATACATGAGAAAGCTTTACACAGAACTAACGTGGAGTGGTCATTGGCAAAGAACTTTTTTTTTTTTTTTACAAAATGCCCTCACATGTGTTCGCTACGTAGCAATCATTTTTAAATTTCATTTACAAATAGATACCTTATAAAGAGCAAAATAAAGTAAACGTATAACGCGTAGAACAAATTTTAAAAAATACAAATATCGTGTTCCCGGAAGGGAAGAGGGCTTGAAAGGGTGTGTCTGTGAATGCTTAGTTCTGGCAGCAAACTTCGAAAAGTTAAAACATACTTCTGTCAAATTCCTTTGATAGTGGGGGTAAACCCTAGTCCTCCCGCCCCTCCCTTTTTTGAAGCTAAAAATATAAAACATACTGATCTACTGAGAGTTGTAAATAGAGCGGAGAAGTTATACCCCCCGCTCGAAAAGCGGGAGGGTATATAGTAATCGGTATGTCCGTCCGTCCTCCGTCCGTCTGTACGTCCGTCCGTCAGTCTGTCTGTTACGCTTTGGGGTACAAATCTGTTATCCGCAACTCCTCTCATACCACTGAATGAAATTTGATGAAACTTTCACAGAATCTTTATTACATATTGCCATTGTGCACCTCCTATTTTACTTTTTGATCGGACACATATTTTGTGTTTCACATACCAAAACATGGACATTTTATACATATGGGAGGCGAGGGTATTATTTAGTGAGCTCATTGCTCACAGTACCTCTAGTTTCATTAAGGTACAACTTAAGAAATGACTTAGGAAAAATTTAAGATAAGATTGTTTCGTGAAACAGCTGTGACAAATCTTAAGAATTTCCTAAGTCATAACTTAGGCATATCTTAAGTTATATCTTACGACATATCTTAGGAAAGGTTTGTGAAACACGCCCCTGAACACTTTTACTTTGTGGCCACCATTCTTTCATCAACTGTCATTTCTCTGAAAGACTGGAGAAAATTCTTTGACTTGTCCAAGACATTAGTTGCTGACAAGTACAACTGATCACGCGCAGCTTCTATCCTGTAAAAAAGATTTAAATATTTTGAAACAAATTATGTGAATTTACAAATACAGTGTATAAAATTAAGGATGCTACAATTAATACATCGATATGATTTTCCTTTTAAAATTAAAATTGTATTTATTATGTGATT